ATAGACTCAACACTGCCCATAGACTTAACACCGCACCTCCGATTCGCACGGTTGGTTACGTACGGTGCGAAAGAAGTTCAACATACATACATTCTCCGCAGAGACTAACACTACCCATAGACTCAACACTGCCCGTAGAGTCACGTAGGTAAGAAATAAATGATAAAATATATACTAGCATAATAAAATAAATAATTAAAATTATATAAATAGTAATATAAATAAAATAATAGCACGGTTATTTTATTTCTATTATTATTTCTATTTTTTTGGCTACGTAGGATGCGAAAGAAGTTAAAACATGCGTACATGCTTTGTTCTTCAATACCATCATCACCATTAGCCGTGACCAATCCACTGCTGGATAAAAACCTCCCCAAGCCGCCGCCTCTCGCGATGTAACAATAAGAATCGATCTTGTCCCCGTCGCTCCATCTCCGCTGTGGATGTACAGTAAATCGTTCTCACATTTCATTCCTTTGCCTGCCGCTCCGTTGTTGTTATTCTTCTTCTTTAGTCTTAACCATAATCCATCGTCCCTTCGAAGCACGGACGTTTCGCTATCAAAAGTGCCACTCATTTCACAGTTTTAATTCTGTAATCGATCTGCGTGTAACCTCTAACCCACCAACTTTTCACGCTTCCAGTTTCATCCTGCCCTGAAGTTTTGCCTGCGGCCCCTTTGCATGGACGATGCCAGCCACAGGACAGTAATATGTAAATCTTAAAGTGGTTTTATACACGATGATTAGAATTGTAATCTTTAGTTCTCGTGAAAGTGTTGTGCATCAACGCTCAACATCGAAATGGTTCAAAATAGAAGGGAGTATTTGTTTTGACAAAGTTTAGAGAAACTTTCTCGCCATAATCGTCATATCGTGGTATTTGATGTCGTGTCGTACGTATGTTGAAACTTCTTTCAACGTACGTACGACACGGGCCGCATGGCTGATAGATTTGAAGCTTTCGTGACTACAGGAATCCATACTCTTTGGTTATTTCGGTAAAGTCACGTAGGTAAAAAATAAAATAAAATGAAATTTATTTTTTCTTTTCTTTTCTTTCTTTTTTACCTACGTGACTTTACCGAAAAAAACAAAGAGTATGCACCCTTGCAGTCACGAAAACTTCAAATCTAGAAGTAGGGCCATACCTAATGAATGAAACTGAAACTCTCACACCTTACCTCGCTAACCGTGGTGGCTAATCGGAGCCGCGGGAAAGGACAACAAACTAAACACACGCAAAAAACTGTTCTAAAGAAATTAGTTTTAACAAAAAAAAATTAACCCGTAAAAACAAAGTTTTTCACTATAAATCCTTTATATGCGTGGCGGCTAGAGTCCTCTCGTCCTCTGGCTTGAGATGGCTGCCACCTATGGGTCAGATGATTGCCTGCCACCATTAAGCAATTGGTAATTAAATATTTAAAAAAAATTCCTACAAAAGTGTAAAGTTATGGAAAAAAAATTTACGAAAATAAATTGTCACGCACGAGTCTGTGTGCAAAATGTCAGCTCGATTGGATCACGGGAAGTGGGTTAAAAAACGACCGAAAGATTTGCACGGTCGTAAGCGCGCAAGCAAGCAAGCAAGTGAACTTAATATAAAGGATTTAAAAACACACGAGTTTTCACGACTTGTTTGACCAGTTCAAGCCAATTGCTTGTCCCGTGCAAGGAGGGATTGGGGTGGGGGTGGGTAGCTTCATGCAGTCCTCTGTCGCCATCTGCTGCCCATTGTGAAGACTGCGTACACCGCCTCCACAAGTGGAGACGTTAAAGACCACCCCACGATGTGACACTGCGGCCACCCGAACCAGATGTTGGATCCAGTGCCGGGTTCTCCTAGTAGCAAAACTAGCTACATATGCTACGGGCCCCGCGCTAAATGCTTTCAAGCTATTAATTCCGTTATAGATTTGAAGCTTTCGTCACTGCAAGGATTCATACTCTTAGTTCTTTCGGTAAAGTCACGTAGGTAAAACATTAAATTAAAATTAATAAAAATAAAACAATAAAATCACGACGTTTCGGAGGCAACACAAGTCTCCGTCATCAGGTGGGACCGTCACAGCCAGATTTGCTGCATCAAGTGAGGCAAGGATTCAAGATGCAAGCCCTTATTATTAATTATTAATTTCATTTTTTACCTACGTGACTTTACCGAAAGAACTAAGACTATCAATTCCGGTTCAGTGATTCTTCACTTGCTCTATTACTATAGTACTATACCGCCTTCAACTCAAGATTAAGGTGGGGGAGCCCGCACGTAGGGGAATTGGATCACAGCACAACAATGAATTATTACATTGCTATCTATTTAACTATTTTTTTTATTTTAGCAGGTAAGGCCCACACAGCTCTTTTTCAGAAGCGACCTGGCAATCACAAATGATAGGTCAACAAATTGGCTTATCACGTGTAAATTCATAGCAGCCACATACTCGAAATGCAAGTTTCCAAATGTGGAGGAAAACCCTGAGGACCCGGAGGTAACTCTATGCGACCATGGGGAGAGAGAGACACGCAAACTCCAAATAACCAGCAGCAGGCATCAGGGTCTGGATCGAACCCACGACCTCCTGTAGACCAGGCGAGGTAGTTAACATCTCCTCGCCACCGTGATGATGATGAGAGAGAGACACGCAAACTCCAATTATACAGCAGGCGTCAGGGTCTGGATCGAACCCACGACCTCCTGTAGACCAGGCGAGGTAGTTAACATCTCCTAGCCACCGTGATGATGATGAGAGAGACACGCAAACTCCAAATATACAGCAGCAGGCGTCAGGGTCGGGATCGAACCCACGACCTCCTGTGTACCTGGCGAGGTAGTTAACATCGCACCAGCGTGGCGCCCTTATCGACTGACCACTGGTGAGAGAAAGTCATACCGTAGGGAGATCACGCTTGACTTACGTAAAATTAACTTCACAAATGGTCACTATAACCAAATCACTTTGCATGCAACTGATGTGATGACATCTGATGTTATATAATGTACGTTACGTAATAAGTCAGCACCAAGAGATTGATTACAAGGTACGATATTCCCAAAATGCTACGGAAGAGGCTCATGACAAAATCAGGCGAGGTTGTGATGCCAAATTAATTCCTGGGGGATAGAAAAAAAACTGCGTTCCAGACTATTCCTGCTGAATCGAGCCACAGCCGAGGAGGCATGAAAAAATAATAAAGTCGTAGCAGAAAAAAAAAGAGATGTTAATGTATATGGAACAAAAAAAGCCGACAGTTTTAGCCCCCGCGGTATTCATTCATTCAAAAGAATGTGTCAATTGGTAGCCAGGGTATTTAAAAAGTGTTTATTACTCGCGTTTTAAGTGTCGTGATGATCAACCACCGTTGGTTTACAGATGTGCGGCCCTTCCTCCTTACCGGGGAAGCAACGTTGTGCCTCCCCCCCAAGCTTTGAAAGCTGCCAGAATGTCAAAGCTAGTGTTTCAGAGCTGCGAGGTTCAGATTTTAATCGCTCTCCTGCCCTCTGAAGTTACCGACTTGCTTCTAATTCAAAGTTAACGCGGGGCCATACATTACGTGTGGCCGTTCTAAGCCCCTATAGACTCCCCCAGAGCTAGCCACGTGCCTTCCAGCCACGTGATGTATATTGTTAATATGAGCGGAGCTGTATACGACCGCGTGATTTAGGTGATGCCTCCACGTGCGGTGTGTGGCTGTGTGTGTTTGGGTAGAGATGGCCAAGGTTTGGTGGATTTGGCCCAGCTGGGCTAGGGATTTATTGTCGGGGAGCGTCTGTGGCAAATCAATATATATAGCTTTTTAAGGCTTGGGTCATCCCTAGGTCATCTTGGCTTAAAATGGGGACCTTGTGTGTTGTTATCGTTGACGCCGGAAAGACAAAAGGGAGCCAGGCTGGCATGGTGATGGACGCACTTCAATATTGCTTCATGCACTCCAGCAGCCTGAATAGCACCTGAAGACCGAAACGTCGTATTTTCTTTTATTATTTTTTCTACCTACGTGACTTTACCGAAAGAATCAGAGAGTATGGATTGTTGCAGTCACGAAAGCTTCAAATCAAGACTGAATAGCTCCTCTTAATAGCAACTACACTTGCTTCAACCATCGATGCAGACGATATTGTATTTTGGGTGTAGTAGAATAAAGTTAATTTGTGTATTTTTTATTTTGAGAATTTTTTTTTTATCTTTACAACTGTCTCTTTTCTTCCAGGTTCCCTCTAAGCACCCAATGTAAAAAAAAAAAAACATTGATGTATAATAATAATGCATTTATTTAACTCAGCAGGAGCTTGCATTGGCATCGTTGGCCAATTCCATTCACTAATGAGTGTTTGGCTTCGTTTGGAAGACCGAGAACATGGTAACACTCAAAGCTCTGCACAGATAGATTCAGGAATCCCTTACTTTGGACCTCCGTCTTCTTGCCACATCGCAGCCGAAGCCTGCAACCCCGAGTTAGGGGACTTTGAGTGGCAGAATTAAGCGAAAAAGGCAACACGCATGTCAACAAAAAACACATTCATGCGGAAGGAGCTGGTAGGAACGTTGGGTTGCTCGGTCAATGGCCAGGGTCAACGGCGGCGTGGTGTATTCCGCAATTATGGCCGACTGTGAGGGCGGGCACAAGCCAGCGTGAGTAGGTTAAACGTTGAGTTTTATAAGGGCACCACGGGGTGACCAGTCCCTCCCCATCCAGCCCCACCCCTCCCACCCCCCCACCCAGCCCCACCGGTGACGATTATTTGAACCGGTTCTGGGCCTCCCCTAGGTCGCCTCAGCCTCAAACGCGTAACTGGTGTGGTGTGTGAATATCGCCATCGGGGAGACAAAGGCGGCCGGGCGTGATGAATCCAAGTCCCGGGCGAAGCCGGGTAGTTAAGCTAGTACATTTATATTTACGAGACAATGACATGTAGTTCGCACTTTCTGAAACACCCATAACCGCATCTATTCTCCTGGAAGAAGAAGAATTACACCGAACAAACTTGCCACGCAAGTGCATTAACGCGTCGATGTTTATTCGAAATGCAAGTGTTTAAAATAACACAGTCCAAGGGTAAAGGCTGTGTCGCACTCACTTAAGGTAAACATTTAAGCAATTGCAAAATAAAATATCACAAGTCAATTTTACAACAAGACGGAAGACAATATTGATTGATCGCGCAAGCACTAAACAGAATGCACACTTCCCGCCACTCGCCGCTGTCAACATTTGCAGTGCGCCTTCCATATAAAACAAAAGCACCTGCACATTGAGTTTGACAATTGTTTACATTTGCCGGGAACAATCTTATTCCATTTGCGAAGTCGCCATCGCGAACACGAAACGAGGAAACCAACCCTTTGTGTTCGGAGAGAAAATGATCCGTGGAAGCGGATCTCACAGAGCTGCTTCCGAGATCTCTTCCCAGTGACTCTGTCCTACACGGGAGTGGCCGGCCGCACTTTTCCATCTGCTCTGCGGGTTTAAAGTAACGTTCGTCTCATGACAATTTGCAAACAGGAAAACGTCGCGTGAAATGTTTACTCGAAAAAGCGGTGCGATTGTGTTTGACGGTGGTGTTTAAAAATCAGCAGCCCACCACTTAAATTGGTAGGGGTTGGCGAGTACGCACGTAACATGTGATCGCACGTGGCCCACCAAATTTATAGCGGCCGCCAGAAGTCAGTTGAAGCACCCCCGTCTATAGAACTACTTGAAATCAACTAATCGTTATCAATCAATCGTTACCTCCCCGTGTGCTTAGCAGTCGGCGTAGGTCACTTGCTTGAATGAATGAATGAAACCATGCGTGGACCACATTGGGAACTGACCATTGTGTACATTGCAAATTCAGCGGAGGCATGTATGTATTTATGTTGAACTTCTTTCGTGCCGCACGTAGCCAACCGTGCCAATTGGAGGTGTGGCATTGAAGGCGTCCATACAGCTTCACTGGAGTTAGGTCCTTTACCAGATCTGTCCATGGAGTTGCGAGAGTTGCCACACAACGCCATACCCAAGTAGAAATGAACCAAAGGATCAATCGGCCGTTCCCAATAGCCGCGCACTGCACAACTGTTGTTGTTCATAAACGAGTCGAAAAAGTCGATCCAAGCTGCTGCTTTCCACCAAATCGGACGGGTTGATGATCTCAGCTGTTGTTAGCAAGCATCGTCTCGAACGAACGATTCAGACGGTGAACCAATGCCGAGGACTGCAGTTGGATTGTGGAAAAGCCGTGGAAATTCAGCGCAGGTGTGGAAAAGTAATCCGTTCCGTTCCTGCATTTGCTGCTCATCGTTTCAGAGGTACGCAGCTTGAGCCCAGCAGGCAACCCTGGTTAATACTGCAGCCGGTGCATTAAACCAAAAATATACGTGCCCATCTCCTTTAACAGGGGACGTTATTTAAAATTAAGTGTCGGTCACGCGTGCCGGCGTTACCAGTTCACTTGTGCCAAATTTGCAAACGACTCTCAAAATCGCCCAATCAGGAAGCAACGTAGCAACATTGCCGCCCTCCCCTCCCGCTACTGAGAAACTGTTGCAGACTACGCCGCCAGTGCAACACGGCGCCCACGTGACAGCCCTGGCGGCACGAATGCAAAACATACAGACGACGGCACGGTCGGAAAGGCCGCGAGCCCGTCTAAAAACCAGCGCAACCGTGGCAGTTCCCTCCCCGCGCGCGATCACACGTTGGCGTAGACGTTATCGATGGAGCCGCCCCCCTCCGTCTCCAGCCGCTCGTAGAGCCAGCGCCGGTCCCGGCGGCAGGTGGGGCCGCAGCGAGTGGAGCTGCAGGCCGAGCAGGGGTAGAAGCAGCCGGGGCAGCCGTCCTGTAGGCAATCGCAGGCGTCCACGCCGCCCCGCACCAACCGGCCCTGCGAGTCGTACACACGGCTAGGGGCGGGCGGCAACGGCAGAGGGCAGGGGGTGAGGGTGAAGGGTGAACGACAGCGGCTTGTGGGCAGGAGAGAGGAAGCCACTGGGCACTGTGCACTTTTAAATCCACGACAACCATCGCGACATCAGAAATCGTCTGGTCTCAAGGAGCGAGAGTGATTGACCACAACAAAAAATAAAAATGGGGGGGGGGGGGGCAAGAATAAATAAGTGGAAGATTGCAATTTTAGTCGATTAAACAAAACTCAACTTCCCGGGATGAATCGTCCCCTTCATTGAAAGAAGTGAACGTGACGTCGTGCTCAAATATTTGCTTTCCCCCACAAAGTAATCCTCATTTTATTCACCTCGGAGCGATGACGGAGGGGGGTAGGTTTAGTCAATACTGCCAACCGGAAAATGACCTTCAGTTTAACACGTAGGCTTTCGCGACCAATATTAATCATAATCAACGTTTTTGGGTTAGATCGCGTTATTTATAAATGTGTCGTAACTCTCCACCACCAAATGAACTTCTCTGCATTACGATTTCGAGCTGATCGCCTCAACCGCTGAGAACTCGCTTCATTACACCCAGCCTCTGATTTTCTGATTTTCTCTACCCCCTTTGCACTGACAACCACCCCCGCCACCCCGTACCCACCTGTCCACTTGCTGAAGCTTGGTCTGCAGCTTGCGACGTTCTCGTTTGCTCGTCTCTGGGTTGAAGTCACCGGCTGCCTGCGGTAGCGACAAGGGAGATAGCCTGTGCATCAACAAGGAAGAATAATCATACACGCGCGCACGGCCCGGCTTTGTAACAAGCTGTGGCGAGAACCCCGACGCTCACGCCGGCGTGCAGGAGGATGTAGGCTAGCAAGACGGGCATGACGAGGTGGGCCATTTTAGCAGTGGTTTTGTCTCAAAACACCTGGGAAAGCATTTGGTAAATTTGGCCGGTTTTACATAGGGGCAAGTCCCAAATAGCAACACAATTTCATTGTATCGTTTTAATGATTGTCAGTGGCCCCGTCAACAACACAGGCGGACAGAGATATGACATGAACGCCTTTTAACCTGAGATGGGAATCGCTCCCCGAACATATTTTTTTTCGATTTGCATGTTCACTTCTGTTTTAAATAAACACTAGCAGGAAGTATCCGGCTTTGGCAGGGGGAAAATATGTATATTTAAAAACTTGTCTTCTCCTAAAAAACTTAACATATACACACACAAATACTGAGCTATTATAAAAGTCCGGCGTTCCATTTGTCCGTCAGCAAATTTTTAAGAGCCTTAGAGAAGGCCTGAACCAAAAAGTTTTAGAAAGTGGGGGTAAAATGTTGATACAAAAGGTTTTTAAAAATTGTAAACCCCTCCCCACTCAATTTTTCTTTATTTAGTTAGGGACCGTCCATAAATGACGTCACGCGATTTTGGATGATTTTTGACCCCCCCCCTTCGTCACACGGCGTCACAAAAAGTCAGACCCCCCCTCAAATATGACGTCACAAAGCTCTGCCCCCCCCAAAACCATATTTCCATTTTGAAAATAAAATATGCTTCAAATCGCTTTAAACTATTGTCATTGTAGTGCGTATTTAATGTGGCGCTGCACTCTGATGTTGTAGGAGAAAACATTTCTTAAAAAGTCTATTTAATTAAGTAGAACGTGTTGTCTATATTTATTTAAAGTTGCGTATTTTGATGTGACGTCACATTTCTCACCCCCCCTCCCAGGTGCGTGACGTCATTTATGGATGGTTGTGGGTGGGATGGGCTTAGTTTGTTGTATTTGTGTACTTTGTTAAAACGTAAACAACATCGTCTGTTAAAAGCATTACAAAGATATGCGAACACAGACAGACACAAAAAAATAATTTTACCGGTAAGATTACTTAAACTAAAAACATTACACATTCTTTGTTCTTTCGGTAAAGTCACGTAGAAGGGAAATAAAAGAATAAAAATATAAAACAATAAAATTTTCTTGCTGTGGATTTCACACCTGATGATGATTGCTTGTGTTTGCAGTCGAAACGTCGTGAGAATGTTATTATTTGTATTATTTTATTTTTCCCCCTCTTCGTGACTTTACCGAAATAACCAAGAATATGAATCCCCGCAGTCACGAAAGCTTTAAATAAAAATAAAACCATTACTTTTTAGATAATTAAATGGGGGGGGGGGGGGGGTCACAAGACTTACGGAACCCTTTCATTTTACGAGACACGCAAACTCCAAGTATACACAATATCCATTCAATGTTACCCCTACATTGCAATGTGCTTACCGTGGCAATTACTGTGATTGCAAATATATCTTTGTTTCAATATCGTGGGTTGGTGTGGGTGGGTGATGAGGGCACTTCACGTGGCCTCAAGGTGCACCTAGCCTGGCACAAGCGTCGTGGTGACGTCACCGCCACTTAGTGGCGAATGGTTGTTGCTGGGGATCGATTCCAGATCGATTCCTGCTCACGGCCAACACCGCCGGTGACGATTATCTGAACCGGTCCCGGGCCTCCCCTAGGTCGACTCAGCCTCAAATGAGTACCTGGTGCGGTGTGCAGTCAACATCGTCACTAGGGAGACAAAGGCGGCCGGGCGTGGTGCTGGCCACCCACCCCCTCGTGTACCACGGTGCCGGCCTTCATCATAGGTGCTCGCTAACAGCACTTGCCCCTGCAGTCTGTTGAGGCTACACGGGGCATCTTTGTCTTTGTGTGAGGACAACCCCAGGCCCTTACAAATACTCCATTGCGTCTCTACCACCACCATCCTCACCACCACCCTCACCACCATCACCACCACCACTCACCCTCACCACCACCACTCACCACCATTCACCCTCACCACCACTACTCACCACCACCACTCACCACCACTACTCACCACCACTCACCACCACCACTCACCACCACCCTCACCACCACTCACCACCACCAACACCACCGCCCTCACCACTACTCACCACCACTCACCACCACCACCCTCACCACCCTAACCACCACTCACCACCCTAACCACCACTCACCACCACCCTCACCACCACCACCCTCACCACCACTCACCACCACCACCCTCACCACCACTCACCACCACCACCACCCTCACCACCCTCACCACCACTCACCACCACCACCCTCACCACCACCACCACTAACCACCACCATCACCACCACCACTACTCACCCTCACCACCCCCCTCACCACCACCACCCTCACCACCACCACTCACCACCCTAACCACCACTCACCACCCTAACCACCACTCACCACCACCATCACCACCCTCACCACTACTCACCACCACCCTCAACACCACTCACCACCACCCTCACCACCACTCACCATCACCACCCTCAACACCACTCAGCACCCTCACCACCACTCACCACCACCCTCACCACCACCACCACCATCCTAACCACCACTCACCACCCTCAACACCACTCACCACCACCACCCTGACCACTCACCCTCACCACCATCACTCACCACCACCATTCACCCTCACCACCACTCACCACCACCACCCTCACCACCACCCTCACCACCACCACCACTCACCACCACCCTCACCACCACTCACCACCACCCTCACCACCACTCACCACCCACCACTCACCACCCTCACCACACTCACCCTCACCACCACCACTCACCACCCTAACCACCACTCACCACCACCACTCACCACCACCACCCTCACCACCACCACCCTCACCACCACCACTCACCACCCTAACCACCACTCACCACCACCATCACCACCACTCACCACCCTCACCACTACTCACCACCACCCTCAACACCACTCACCACCACCCTCACCACCACTCACCATCACCACCACCATCACCACCCTCAACACCACTCAGCACCCTCACCACCACTCACCACCACCACCACCCTCACCACCACCACCACTCACCACCACCACCCTAACCACCACTCACCACCCTCAACACCACTCACCACCACCACCCTGACCACTCACCCTCACCACCATCACTCACCACCACCATTCACCCTCACCACCACTCACCACCACCACCCTCACCACCACCCTCACCACCACCACCACTCACCACCACCCTCACCACCACTCACCACCACCCTCACCACCACTCACCACCCACCACTCACCACCCTCACCACACTCACCCTCACCACTCACCACCACCCTCACCACTCACCACCCTCACCACCACCACTCACCACCCTAACCACCACTCACCACCACCACCACCCTCACCACCACCACTCACCACCACCACCCTCACCACCACCACTCACCTCGTCGTGTTGCTGTTGTGCTCCCGGAGTTTCCTTGCCACGTTTTGCTCGCCTCATGGCTCCAAGTCTCTCTCCTCCCTCCCCTCCCTCTCTCTCCTCTCTCTCTCAGCCGCTTACCGAGGGTGCATTCTCTGGGTGGACAAAGGACGACTACTTGAGTCGACTTTGAGTCGTCCTTTGTCTGTGTGTGTGTCTCTCTCTCTCTCGGCCGGCGTCTGGGTCAAAGCGAGTTGTAGTTGTTGTGTTCAGCGGCAATGGAGGAGGAACAGCAGGAGTGGTAGATGGTGGAGTGATGTGATGGCGATGGCGTTACCAGAGCAGAGGTTTTTTCGTGGGCTCGTCTTTTGTTGAATGTGAAGGTGTACGTAGCCTGGCACAAGCGTCGTGGTGGTTGTTGTTGTTGTTTCACCTACAGAGTCAATATAACAGCCTAGGGGTCGGCGAACTGCGGATCTTTAAAGGACTCCAACATTGCGGCCTTTGAGTTGGGTGGAGAATTCTGTTGTCGTATTCTTGGTTCTTTCGGTAAAGTCACGTAGAAGGGAAATAATAAATAATAAAAAATATTTTCCCTTCTACGTGACTTTACCGAAAGAACCAAGAATATGAATCCCTGCAGTCACGAAAGCTTAAAATCAAAATTTCTGTTGTCGTTACCGAATTCCGAAAAAAGTGGTACTTGTTATTTTTTGGTTGCTGATCACCCTGCCCATGAGATTTCAGTTTACCATGGGAGTCCAGTTCACCATGGGAGACCAGTTTACCATGGGAGTCCAGTTTACCATGGAAGGCCAGTTCACCATGGGAGTCCAGTTTACCATGGGAGTCCAGTTTACCATGGAAGGCCAGTTCACCATGGGAGTCCAGTTTACCATGGGAGTCCAGTTCACCATGGGAGTCCAGTTTACCATGGGAGTCCAGTTCACCATGGAGGTCGAGTTTACCATGGGAGTCTAGTTTACCATGGGAGTCCAGTTTACCATGGAAGGCCAGTTCACCATGGGAGTCCAGTTTACCATGGGAGTCCAGTTCACCATGGGAGTCCAGTTCACCATAGAAGGCCAGTTCACCATGGGAGTCCAGTTCACCATGGAAGGCCAGTTCACCATGGCAGGCCAATTTACCATGGAAGTCCAGTTTACCATGGGAGTCCAGTTTACCATGGAAGGCTAGTTCACCATGCAGGCCAATTTACCATGGCAGTCCAGTTCACCATGGGAAAATGATCTTCTTGCTGTGGATTTCACACCTGATGATGATTGCTTGTGTTGCAGTCGAAACGTCGTGAGAATTTTTATTGTTTTATATTTATATTATTTTATTATTTCCCTTCTACGTGACTTTACCGAAAGAAACAAGAATATACAAACATTGCTTTGATAAATTATCCTCCACGGATCATGGGACCTCCTTTGCCAGTGCCAAAATATACTAATAGGGTTTTCCCCCTTTTTTCTGGCAAGAAAACTGACACCTTTTGCAAGGAATCATGCTTACATTAACCACAATACTTGCAGTCAAATGCAATGATGTAGCTGCTCACCCCGAGCTCTCATTACTCTGGTAGTGTGTTGTCTTTGAACTGTGCGCCTTTTGGCGTCATCTGGTCGAACACCATATGAGACTAGGCTCCAAAGAAAGCTGTCTCTGGCGTGGACCAATCAGTTTCAAAGACAATGCATACATTATCAGAGTATTGTTTTTTGTTTGCATTTGACTGCAAGTATTGTGGTTAATGTAAGCATGATTCCTTGCAAAAGGTGTCAGTTTTGTTGCCAGAAAAAAAGGTGGAAAAACCCCTATTAGTATATCCTCCACGGAGTCTACGGTATTGTTCTTAGGTTTTTTCGGTAAAGTCACGTAGGTAAAACATCTAAATTAATAAAAATAAAATAAAACAAAAATCACAGCTTTATTGTTACAGTATTCGAATACTGTAACAATAAAGCTGTGATTTTTTTTTTAATTAATTTTGATGTTTTACCTACGTGACTTTAAAGCTGTGATTTTTGTTTTATTTGTTTTATTTTATTTTATTTTCATTAATTTTGATGTTTTACCTACGTGACTTTACCGAAAAAATCGAAGAATATGAATCCTTGCAGTCACGAAAGCTTCAAATCTAGAATTACGGTATTGTTGTTGTGAAACGGATTTTGCCCGCAGCAGCAGGTAGCCAGCCAGCAGCCAGGCAGCCAGCCAGCAGCCAGCCTTCTTCAGGAGCCCAGTCTCTCTACCAGCGTCAGCCTAGACAACAACGCCACAAGGCGAACACTTTTATATTATTACCCCTGATCGCCGGGAAAGGGTTAAGATACATTTCTTAATTCTCTTTCTTACTTTGATATCGGCACAAGAAGTGTTATTACGCCGCTGCGGATACTTTAAACACTCGTCAAGCCGAAATAAGGAGCGTTGCCGCCTTTCAACCATACACATCCACGCGTCGTTAGCAATGTCTTTTAAACGTGAAGGAGATGACTCGAGCCAGCTGAATCTGTTAAAGGTAAACAACAACAACAACACATTTGTGTTAAAGATTCGTTTTGTCCGCGCGAATTTCACGGCACGTGGGGCCTAGCGCAGGCTTTTCCCGCCTTGCCTAGAACCCCTGCCCCGGGAGTCGGCAGTAGCGGCGGGGGCAACTTGCGGGGTTGGGCCGGTTACGTTGAACCATTAAGCCGCCGTTCATCTGTTTGTAGTCCGATGATTATAACAAGTTGTCCCTCTTCTGTAACTCTCTTTGTTGTGAACAGAAGCGGAGGGTGGCTGATCTGCTGGTGGCAAACATTGCCGAAGACGAGGCGATGTTGTGTAGCAATGGCAGGTAAACGTGGTGGTGGTGATGGTGATGATCTTCACCATATAACCTCACAGCACTCGCTCTTAAGTTTAACTTGTAGGCTTTTGCGACCAATATCAGTCCATGTTTGGAGTTTGCGTATCTCTCTATCATCATCACGGTGACTAGATGTTAACTACCTCGCCTGGTGTGCAGGAGGTCGTAGGTTACATCCCGATACTGACACTTGCTTGCGGTGTATTTGGAGTTTGCGTGTCTCTCTCTCAACATCATCATCACGGTCGTAGGAGATGTTAACTACCTCGCCTGGTACGCAGGAGGTCGTGGGTTCGAACCCGATACTGACGCCTGCTGCTGTATATTTGGAGTTTGTGTGTCTCTCTCATCATCATCACGGTGACTAGATGTTAACTACCTCGCCTGGTACGCAGAAGGTCGTGGGTTTGAATCCGACACTGACGCCTGCTGTATATTTGGAGTTTGCGTGTCTCTTTCTCTATCATCATCACGGTGGCTAGGAGATGTTAACTACCTCGCCATATACAAATAATGTTGCATTTTTTTTTATGATAGAAAATGGTATTGTCATCAGTATGACATAAGTATACCAAGTTTACAGTCGATACCACATTGGGAAGTGGCTTAAAATTGAGTTACAAGATTTGAGTATACAACAACGACAACAACAACAGACCGAGTGAGTTAAATGAAAGCGTGTAAAAATAGTTTAGTTTTAATTGGATATATATTTTAAAGCGATTTGTTTACCTTTCCTATACTTGGCACTAGGCCTCGGCAAGGTAAGGTAAAAGTTAAAAGGTAAAAACAACGAGCCTACCTTTACCTTACCTTTCACCTTACCACAATACAATCACTCTACCCTACCTTTTATCCTTCAGCAGGTAAGGTAATAGGTAAAAAGCAACGACCCTACCTTTTACCCTTAGCCCATACAAATTACCCGATTACAGGGTAATTACTGGGGTACTACTACACATCAACAAGGTTTATAACGGTAAATGCTAGGTAGAGCGCTTTATTAATATAGAATACTCTCGATGATTCCAATTTTACACGCTTGTCGTTGTTGTCATTGTTGTCGTTATTGTCGTTGTTGTTGTTGTCGTCGTCGTTGTTGTCGTTTCCTCAAATCTTGCAACTCAATTTTTACCCACTTCCTACTGTGGTATCGACTGCAAACTTCGTATACTTATATCATACTGATGACAATACTATATTCTATCATTAAAAAAATATATTTCTTAACATTTTATTTATATGTTATGTTTCGGCTTGGGTCTAATTTTCCACGGTCAACTGACGTTGGCTGTAAATCACCACGGACCCTTACGTTATGGCAAGCTTCGGGGCCATTTCCTGGAGTCGTGGAGTTCTGCCATTACTAGTACGGTACATTTAATAAAAGCGTGTTTTTTTATTAAGTTTTTAAAATATTACTTATTAAATGGAGGCCACGGACTGCGCCACGGAGGTTCTAGCGGTAAACAAGGCACCGTATTTACCGGGTAATACTTTGCGCTACCTTTACCCTACCGGGTAATTCTTCCGAGCTACCTTTACCCTACCCTTTACCTTACCCCTTGGCATGTCGACACCTTTACCCTTTTACCCAGTAAAAAGGGTAAATTACCTTACCTTGCCGAGGCCTACTTGGCACTCCCATCGTGTTTTTGTATTTGTTGTTATGTTCTCGCCTGCCCCTACTGGAAAAGAGCTTTATAGCTCATCGGATTCCTCCAGTATAAATAAAGATTCCGATTCATAATAAAGTTTTTTTTGGGGGGTTTGATCGCGTACAGATAAATGTGTCGTGAAACCCGCCACCACCGTTTCGCCGATGATTTACAATCAGCTTCATCAGGCGATTGAAATCGCCAGCGAAACGTCGTACTCGAATTGTAAATGTTGTGGTTTTACTCTCCAACACACAACCGGTTAGTGCCGTACTAGTAACGAATTGGCACCTTTTGTGTTACGTGACAAACCGTGTCTGGTGGCGGTGGGTTTAACGACACATTTCTATTCATGCGATCTAACAGAAAAAAAACCCTGAATGATAGAGTTTCTCTTCAATAGCCGTACAAAATCATCATTAACTCGCACACAGCGAGGTAAGGGGAGCGGTGGCGCAGTGGTTAGCGCACTACAGTACTGCACACCATGAACCCAAGCAAACTGGGAGTTCGATTTCCGCCCACGACAAAGAAAACATGGAACGTGATTGGAGCCGTTGGACAAATGTTGGCTCAACGTTCCATGTTTATTGCGGAGTGATATCTGAACAATTACCTGTTGCTCCCCCCCTCCGACATACCTTCACCAGCCTGCACTGACCAGCGTGGTGAAGGATGGTCAAGCAATCCACCCACTTCAAGCAGTTGCTTGGAGTGAGCTGACAGGCGAAGGGCCGCACGTGTCCACGCGTGCCGCGGGGTGTCCACGCGTACTGCCGAATGTCCACGCGTGTTGCGGAGTGTCCACGCGTCCTGCCGAATGTTCACGCGTGTTGCGGAGTGTGCACACGTCCTGCCGGGTGAACGTGCGTGCTGTGGAGCGCTACTGCCCAGTGTTCACGCGTACCGCTGGGTGAACACGCATTGCGGAGCATTACTGCCGGGTGTTCACGCGCGCCGCTGAGTGAACAGGCGTGCTGCGTGTATGTAGTACGTTGAACTTCTTTCGCACCGCACGTAGCCAACCGCGCTAATCGGAGGTGCCACTGCCGCCGCTACCGCTGTCACCACCAGGCTGGCGTGCACCGTGTGCCCCCATCGGCCCGTCTTCGACACCGTCGATGTCCTCGCGTCGCACCGTCGGGGCAAGCGCCACCTACAGAGTGAGCAACACGTCTCTGTTTTGATTTGGAGGATGATTAATTTTTTGTTTATTTTTTACATTTTTTATAATTTATAGATTTGCTTCGAGTGAATGTCGCTACCCGCGGTCGGGTTATTCCCTGGTTTTTGCAGCACGGCACGAAGTGCGTAGATCAACGTCACCGGTACAGCCACCGGTGCAGCAACGCACTTGGTCAACTTGGTGCATCACCACGCACACTCATCGCATCGAAACGCTCTCATTCCATATCCGCAGTGTAGTCTTCTTCTTTTGTATGTGTAGTGTCAGTGATTCAGAGACAAGGTTTGTAGGAGGCACCTTCTTTATTATCAACATTCACGGCCTCGTCCACACACTCTCCACGGTCGCTTAGCCTAGCCTGTACACAACACGAGCCGTCTAACACTGACGGCGCTGACTGAGAAAGCCAACAACTATCCTGCAACGCAATGTCTTGCGAAGATGACAGCGATGACGGTGACGAGACGACAGCAACGGCGAGACGAGTCCACTTCCAGAATCGTCAGCCTCGAGCTCCCCGCTCTCGGCTCCTTTTATCCTCCCAGCGCGGCCTGGCTCCGCCCTCCGCACCTCCCTTCTCAAACCCGCTAGCAGGTTCCAGGGGCTTCCAGATGGAGTCCTCCGTGACCCTTGCCTTAGTTCCTCCGCTCTGCCAACACACCGTGCTCACCCTCACCGGCGTGTCCGTCCACCACAGTCGTTGCTGCTGTCCACCAGCCGGCACTATTACACTACATATGGATTAATAGCCCACCGGAGGTGCTTGGGAAATCGGAAGTGCGTGATGGATATGATGATGGTAGTATGGTTGCTGATGGTGGGCGATGATCCTGCTGGTGCTGCTGCTGATGGCGTGTCACGTGTGTGCTGGACAGGTTTGCAGAAACACTATGGCAGGAAGCTTGACCTGAAGAATGAGCTACTGAAAAGGAAACACAGGGCCTACGTGGAAGCAGAGAGCGGCACAGCCCAGGTAATGCTGGAGCTAAGGTTGTCGCCATCATTTGCCCTCGCCACAATTTAATCAATCGTCACAAATCTTAACTTTCGTGACTGCAGGAATTCATATTCTTTGGGTCTTTCGGTAAATCCACGTAGATAGAAAGAAAAAAATCACGACGTTTCGATCGCAACACAAGCAATCGTCATCAGGTGACAATGGCTTGTGTTGCGATCGACACTTATTGATTTAAAAAAATATATATCTATCAACGTGGCTTTACCGAAAGACCCAAAGAATACAATTGTCACAATTCGATCATTACGTCAGAGCAGGTAGTTGCACCCCCCGTGTGTTCTAACCCGGTGAAAATGTGCAGGCTGGCGCGCGGGGTTGGTGTTCTCGCCACGGTGGCGATATGTTAACTCCCTCGCCTGGTATGCAGGAGGTATCGTGGGTCTGATCCCGACTCTTGACGCCTGCTGTATATTTGGAGTTTGCATGTTCTCCCCGTGGTCGCGTTGAATTTTCTCCGTGTCCACCGGTGTTTCCCTCCATGTTTACAAACGTGCGTTTAGAGTATTTGGTTGCTATAGATTTCCACATGATGATAAGCCACTTCGTTGAGCAATCATTTGCGATTGCCAGGTCGCTTCTGAAAAAAACGTGCTGAATAGCTCAGTGGGCCTTACCTAGTAAAGTCAAAAATAGTTTTATAGTTTTGATTTTTGGGTGACTCGTGGTTGAACGCACATCCTTGTTGTATCTTCTGCCCAGTGTTGTGCTCAGTGTTGTGCTCCTTTGACATTTCCCCTGACGGATAAGGAGGACCCGGCTCCGCTGCTGAGTGAGACCCGTCAAAAGGCGTATCACGCCCTGCTCAAGAGTGCTCCCTACAACAGCTGCTGCCACAAGAGAAGGTGGGTGGGTAGGTGGGGCGTCTGCCTCCAGTACAGGTCGGTTTTCCTATAACGCGGCAGTTGCGTTCCCAAAGACCACCGCGTGATGACAAAAAAGAAAAATCGCATTTTAATAAATAATATAGGTGGTAAAGCACACACCGCGATAACACGCAAGATGCGTACGCAGGCTGAACAAAGACTTGAGGTTCGTGGGTAGCAGCTTAGAAGCATCCAGCAGCATCCCGCCTTGTGCGATGCTCAACAGATGCAGCCGTAAAACTTCTTATTCCTACTCTTTGGTAAAGTCACGTAGGTAAAACAATTAATAAAATAAAATAAATGAAAATAACTAAATTAAATCACGACGTTTCGGAGGCAACACAAGCCTCCCTCATCAGGTGTAAAAAGTCACAGCGAAATACAAATCTGATTTGTGCTCGCGAATTCGGTCCGAAATATGTAGTTTCGTCTCCCCGATGTAGCAGTCACCGCAGGTACAACTCAATTTGTAAACACCGGGATACTGTAAATCCGGAATGACATTTTTTACGGATGGGATCAGAACACGGATTTTGTGTACTGTATTGAACCGGACATGGATCTTGTGTTTGTTTAGAATTTTGGAAATCTTTTTGGTAACGCCTGCTATGTATGGCAGTGTGATGATTTTGATCGGAGTTTCAGGTGGTTGTTTCTGCATGGTTATTCCGACTCGCGCGACGTAGTTCCGTTCACTCGATCGCGTTTAGATCCAATTCGCATCCGCGTTCTAAAAAAACATGTTCCCTAATACATTCATCGCGTTGTATACAATTCGCGTTTTGAAAACATGTGGCAATACAGGAGAACAGATTGTACAGCGCTACCCCGATTTACGTCTTGTTATTAACCATGCAAAAAAGATTTAACTACACATTTTTGGACCATCTTATTTAACAGGTACTATTCTACTTTACCGAGTGTTGACATCCCCAGCGTTTAACAGTACTCTCCTTTTTGTATTTGGATTGTCAACCAACACCAGGTAAAACAACAACATTTGCACCTATTGTTCTCTTTTAGCCCCGCCCACCCCCCCAACACGTTCCATTCATTGGCTGCCACATTCAGATAACCCCCTCCCCCCTCCTCCCCCCTTAACTTGTATTTAAGGGCTTGTCTCTTGGAATCTTGCCTCACTTGAGACAGTAAATCTAGCTGTGACGGTCCCACCTGATGACAGAGACTTGTGTGGCCTCCGAAAGGTCGTGATTTATAATTTTATTTCTATTATTATTTCTATTATTTTTTATTATTATTTATTTTTACCTACGTGACTTTACCGAAAAAACCTAAGAGTATTACGTCTCCCCATTTTACCTCGTTTTGCAAACACGTCGCTTTTTTTAACGCCCGGTGAAACCGACAAATTTTAGTTCATTCTAGATTTGAAGCTTTCGTGACTGCAAGGATTCATATTCTTAGGCTAGTCGTAGTCACAAACCGCACCTCTCCATAACAAAGGCTCAGTCTTTTGTTATGCAGTCTATTCTTAGTCTTAAGCCTCACCTTACCATATTAATAAAAAGTGTGCCGTACTTGGCCCTTCCCCTCTTCAACCATTATATATACGGAGTGGTAGCTCTTGTAATCTCTCATTTACTTGATACAGCTGTCGTGGCTGTGACGGTTCCACCTGAAGACGGAAGCTTGTGTTGCCTCCGAAACGTCGTGATTTTTATTTTATTTTACTTTTTTTAATTTAAATTTAAAATTTTTACCTACGTGACTTTACCGAAAAAACTTAAGAATATGAAATTTTAGTTCAGCCTGGAATATTTTTCTCTCGTCTCTTCTGCAGAGTTCCGAGCGATGAAGGTTCGGAGAGCGCGAGCGGTGGCTGCAGTCGTGGCGCGGAGCAGCGAGCGGAAGCGCGGGACTCTCCCTCCTCGCCGGGACCGGCACCATCTCCCCGTCTCCCTGCCGCCGCCGCCGCCTCCTCAGCTCCCTCGCCGTCTGCGCCTCAAGGCGCTGCCGCCGGTGCCGAGAGAAGGGGGGGTGAGTTTAGCGTTTGGGGGGATACTGTTAGTAGCTCAGGTTATTGGAGAGTATATTTAGTATATTGATGATATTGATGTATTTCGATTTAAAGCTTTCGTGACTGCAGGGATTCATCTTCTTGGTTCTTTCAGTAAAGTCATTTCAATTCTATGTGACTTTACCGAAAGAACCAAGATGAATCCCTGCAGTCACGAAAGCTTTAAATCGAAATACATCAATATCATCAATATCTGTCTTATCGACAGACCTGTTCTTCACCTGAGGACGGCTGCTTGCGTTGTGGCCGAAACGTCGTGAGAATTATTTTATTATGTTTTATCTTTATTATTTTATTATTTCCATTCTACGTGACTTTACCGAAAGAACCAAGAAGATGATATTGATGTAGTTTATATTTTAGTTTTTTACGTGGTGGTTTAGCTGCTGCAGCTCATTTCTAATAAAATTTCTTCCCTTTATTACTGCTAACCATAATTCCTTCCCTTTGTTGCTGCTAATCCTACATAATGCACGGGCATAATATGACTTTGAGACCCCCCCCCCACCTCCTACGCATTCCACAAGTAGTGACTAATCCCATATCTGCATTTACCATACATATGCAAAATTCCTCTGTTGATATGCAAATTCCTTTGTCAAGGCACCCTTCCTCTATCCCAGCTTAAATATACGCTGCCAAGCTTGGTGGTGTTCATTCAGACGCTGTCTTTCCGACAGACCTGTTCTTCACCTGAGGACGGCTGCTTGCGTTGTGGCCGAAACGTCGTGAGAATTGTATTTTATTATGTATATTTTTATTTATTGTATTATTTCCCTTCTACGTGACTTTACCGAAAGAACCAAGAAGACGTTTGGGGGGAGTTAAAAAACATTGCGAGAGAGAGAGCTTCTTGGCTAAGTGGGCCTTACGCGACGCGAGATAAAATTAAACTGCAGCAGGCTCTCGATTACATTGATCAACACGCTTTTCTGGCATAAGGTATTCCAACGGGTTTAAGGTAATTTTGGGGTGCTCATTCCAAATCTGGCATCAGTTTTTGTCTATGACATCAAGTTTTTGAGATATCAAAAATATTGCATTTTAAATAAAAACTGCAGAAGAAAAATATTAAATAAATGTGGATATCTACATAAAATTATATTATAAACACACTATCCTAAAAATACAGCACCATATTTTAACACTAAAGCAGTCTTCTTGGTTCTTTCGGTAAAGTTTACCGGTAAAGTTTACCGAAAGAACCAAGAAGATGAATTCCTGCAGTCACGAAAGCTTTAAATCGAAAACTAAAGCAGTCATTGACTCGCAACATCTTGCAATCATAAGTGACAGAGTTAATTTCGGGTAAATTCAATGAAAATGGGGTATGCCGATAGCGTAAAAATGAAATGTTATAGAGCAAATCTGAGATCAGATTTGGAATCAGCACCCTGAAATTAATCTAAAACAGCTGCAAAAGTCCAGGCCAGAAAAAAAGTTTTTTTTTGTTGACCAGTGTTATCCGCGCTAATTACGGGGAGGACGTTTTGCGGATAATTCTAAATTGCGGGTAATCTAAAAATGTCATCTACTACGTGGATGGCACGCCAATCAGAATCAAACGCCGCCCACTCTTGAAGAGATATGCAACTACTGTTCTGTCGTGGCGATCACTTGGATTTCGGTTTAACCGCAGCACATATTTGATTGGTTTAAGCAAGTGACTTGGAATAAACATTTTCAAGAATGACAGTGTATAACTGTTTTTAGTTTATTCATTTGGGCTTAAGGGAAAATCCATGAGTTGTTAATTGATGTCAAAATGTCAAGGTGCGCGGCTAATCCGCAAATCGGATAAACCGCACGCGGATAATCCAGAGTCTACTGTAATTTTATTTAAAAATCTCACTCGGCCAACCCATGGCATCACCTGGGTCTGTTCCGTGACCTCCTGCCAGCGAGCCTTCGACACTTCAAGCGATAGCCTTAGAGTGCACTTAGCATGGCACATGCAACCTGTTGACGTCACCGCCACTGAGTGGTGAACGGCGGTGAGTTTGTTGTTGTTGTGTGGTATTGTGTTGTGGGCAGCAGGGGGCAGTGCAGTAAAACCCAATGCACGTGTTCACCAACCCGCATTAACCAGCGTGGTGAAGAATGGTCAAATACCCCCACGGCATTTCGGAAGCCTTCTTCAAGCATTGGGTTGACCAAATGGCCATGCTGGTATGTGACTAAGCTAATACAATACAACAGAACAAAGGTTCAGTAGAGACGCCAACGGTACACCAACAGAATCTGCATGAAGGTTAGTGTAACACGTAGGCTTTCGCGAGCAATATTTTTCATAATAAAGGTTTTTGGGTTCGACCGACAGCCAATTAGTAAGGGATTTGTCACGCAAACAAAAGGCCAGTTAACTAATACTTCAACCTCCCGTTGTGTTGGAGAGTAAATCCACGACATTCGCTGGTAATTACATCTCGTTTCTCATTCGCAGTGACAAAGTCTGAGAAGTGCAAGAGCAAGGGCGCACGGGACGTGCCGTGCCAGCCCGCAGATCCGGCCAGGAGGCATGAGCTGGAACATTACCTCCACCTCAAAAGGTACGATTCTCACTCCTCGCGACAAATCGGTTCGACGTTTGGTTCAACTCGGAAGAAAAATCGTGCGCTGCGCGTGGCTTTGTAAACACTTTCCGACGTGCTTTTGCCAGTCGTCGGTTGTATGTGTTCAACTTCTTCAGCACCGTGCTTAGCGAACAGCGCTCAATTGGAGTTGCTGCAATCGTTGGCTGTGGATGCCGATGGGTTTGGCTGTGCGGATAAAATTTAATTTTAATATTTGTCAAAGGTTTGTTTCGCGCGAGATTGGGGGAAACTGTTTAATGTCGACGCGCGTTGCGGAAGGTCCTCGCGCGTGTGACTTGAAACGTGACGTTTAGTTTGTTGTCCATCCCCCGCACCTCCGCTGAGCACAGTTGGCTATGCACGGTAAAAAATAAGTTCAACATACATGTTGGAGAAACGGTTACAAACTCAGTGTATGCAGGTTCGGGGAAAAGGACAACAAACTAAACACAAAAAGCAGTTTAAAAGAAATGAGTTTTCAATCTAGATGATGATTTAAAAGTGCATTGCTCCAGTGGCTTCCTAATATCAGAATGAAGAGCGTTCCAGACGGCCGCAGAAGCGCATCCGAATGCGTGCGATGTGGTGACCGTCTTTGTTCAATGGCTGGCGTGATTGGTCATTGTTCCTTGACGAGATCGGCAAGGTAACCGTACAAATGCCAGATGTTTTTGTTTTACTTGGGTATGAAGTACGGGGCTGACTGGAATCCCGCTGTTTTTATGGATAAATAAAGCCACGATAGTTGCGAAGGGTTTTAAAACACCGGTTGAACGTGAAACAGAATTCGAGTCGAGACTTTCACGTTGTCTACATTCACAGACGAGCGGGAGGCGCTACGCGAAGCGTCGGTTGTGTCGTCGGTGCGCCTAACAAACGGGCTGGGGCCGCTACCCCTCTCCCTTGCAGTTTGGGCTGGGTCCGCAACAGGGACGGACAGTGGGAGAAGGATGAAGACGTGGAGTTTGACTCGGACGAGGAGGAACCTCCCGTCATCGCTCCTCTTCCTCCCATGGTGCCTCAAGCAGATACAATCAACATTGCTCCACCTCCACTCTCTCAGCCCTCCGATCACCCAACTCCCCATCGGCAGAAACGGCAGCAGCCACCGGGCATCTTTAAGCGGCGGTGATGTCCCCGTAGCGCTCTGTGCCTGGCTAGGTGCACGTTGAGGCTGTCGCCGTGAAGTGTCGAATGCTCGCTGGCGAAGAGTTCCACAGGGCGGAACGAGGTGTCCCGTGTGTTACTCACCGAGACGATTAGAATCATCGGAGCACTCGTGCCTGGCTAGGTGCACGTCAAAGACTCACCAGAAGGAAGTCCGGGGCAGACGCAGGCATTGTGGGTCACAGACAGCGGCGACTGGCACATCATCGCAAGATATTTCCATTATGATGTGAAATGTTATTTGTCACTGCGCTGGCCTTGTGAAAGTCTTCAGAAATGGAGGGGGTGCAACTGGAAAAATACTTGATACTCAGTAATGGTCATCCTCCAAAAGATATGCTTGTGTTGAGAGTATTTAAAACATTTTATTTTTTTACCAGGTAAGGCCCACTGAACTATACAGCTGTTTTTTCAGAAGCGACAAGGCCGCAGATGATAGCTCAACGAAGTGGCTCATCAAGTGGAAATTTACAGCAGCCAAATACTTTCTCAATGCATGTTGCAAAATGTGGAGGGGGAAAACTGGAGGACCCAGAGAAAAATCCACATGGCCACGGGGAGAGAAAGTCCAAATATGCAGCGGGCATCAGGGTCAGGATTGAACCCACTTCCTCCTGCATATCAGGCGAGGTCGTTAACATCAATATCGCAGGTTGTTTCAGGTTGTGTGTGTTGATCTTCACATTGTGTTCTTGTTGAGTGCGGGTTACTTTGAAACTGACATTGGGCTTGACGGGATCCAATGAGATTTTCCACATTCCTGGAAAGTTGGTCCAAAGGCTTAAGCGTGCCATAAGATCCTTGAGTGATTTCATACGTCATACAAAAAACAAAAGCAGGACTTGTTTTTCCGAAGTTTTATTTATTTTTTATAACATTCAAAATTTTGTACATAAAAAACATGAATAAAAATGTATGGATTTTTTTTTTACCATGAACAGCTGGGTAATATTTTTCATATGCATATTTAAGTTTTACATAAACTACGCAGTGGACAATCGCATCATCATCAGGTTGGGCTAGCAGGATTTGGTGCTGTAAAGGTGGCACACATCAAACACACTTGCCATAACGTCCGTCATCTGTCCAAAGCAGTCGCAAAGTGTATGATACAAACGGCTTTTCTCGGGTGGCGAGCGAAAAGCCGAGTTAAAAAAAGAAAGTAAAACTTTATCGATATATTCTCTAGAGAAATAATAACAGTAATAAAAAAATCTATACATTAAAACATTTTCTTTCACTTAATTATTTACCTCTTAAACCAATAAACGAGTTTACACGTGAATATGCGAGCGGATCCCGCAGCAGCGCGGATTTCAAAGCGTTCTGTACATGCGCGTGTGGTGCCCCAACTCTAGTCCGAGTCCGTCCATCACGACAGGGCCAGCGAGAACGAGACGACCGGGCCAGCGAGAACGAGACGACCGGATGTCAGCGCCGACGTTCAATCCTCTAACCACCGTAGTATATAATGCGTTGAAACTACCAAAGCTACAAAGTGACTTAGAAATCTTCCTAAGTTATTTTCGTTTGCTAATCTCTCTTTTTTTTGTGTTTTTAACATCACGATTGCTAAACACGGCCCAAACGTTTCGAGCGGCGCACCTGCGATTATGCGCAGTTGGCGACGTACAGCGCGAAAAGCGTCAACATTCGTACACACGGAGAGCGCGACTGAACGTTGTAATAGGTAAGGGGGGTGTAATGGTTCCTTGAAACAAGCAAGGTTATTATTATAGGAACTTGGGTGGAGGGGGTGGGAAAGAAACAAGAGGGAAATTCTAAAGCCGCAGCGGTGCAAGGCAAGGAGCGGAAAGGCACGCGGTTGTTGGCCTGCAGTGTGGCGGCCCGATCGGTGGGGTGAGTCAGGCAGATCATGTCCTCGACATAGGCGGAGGGAATCGACGAGTGAACGGATTATAAATGTTTTGTTACTTTCACAGCTGAATTGTCAGTCCGTTATACCACGAACGAGAGCAAAAACATAGAATTTCCACTTGACTTTTCCGGCAACTATGCATACAGGTTTAGGATCGGCGGCACAGGGAGAGCACGACATTAAAGCGGACTTTTTTTTTGAGCGATAAACGACTTCAACATCTGGCTTGAACCGACATCTCTTGAACCTTGAACCACCATGGACAGGCTGAACACATGCGCCCCGACAGATGGACATTGGCACAACACAGCTGATGCGTCCAAAAAGCATACAGACAGCAAAGTCTTTATCCCATCTGTCTGCCACCCACAGAGTCGATTCAAAACTCCGTCAGCAGAGGGCAGTACAGCGAATTCTATTGTACCATACTTGGCCTCGAGCAACCCACACAGGCGAAGTGTAATCAAATAATCCACTCCTTACAGCCCTGGGGAGGCCCCTGACACAGCAGTAGATTGACGAAGGGCAACATGTGCACGTATGTTGCGTACGAGTGGCTAACGTAAATCCTGCAAGCGGCCAGAGGTTGCTACGTTCACCGCAAAGCAGAGGTACGTAGGTAGAACTTCTTTTGCGCCGTACGTAGCCAATCGCGCTAAATCGGAGGTGCGGGGGAAATACAGAGACGTTTTTTTTGAGACTGAACCAAAATTTCCTCCGATCAGCTGGGGGTGCGAGTGGATCCCTCCGTGCAAAGCTGGAGGTCGATTCGCCCATTAAGTCAGCAAAGCGAATTAATCGGCCAAAAATGTTACGGTCGATCGATTAACTTCGGTCCTTTTTGGAGATGCTGGCCAGCCCCCCCCCGTCACCTCCCGTCCAGCGGCACACGTTGGGGAACAGACACAGAGGTGAGACTAATCTTTATGCCCGCTCCCCCTCCCAGACAATTACGTTTTCCGAATGAAACCGCCAGTTGGTAGAGTAAAAGCCGTCGCTGAAAATGAGCAAAAGCTCATGCCCTCCCTGTCCACCCGCCCCCATCACACCAGCGCAGCTGACAAGCCAAAAAAGCCCGGTGTGTACTGACGAAACAACGTCGACGACTGAAATTGGATTCATGTTAAAACACACGTACATACGTACACACACACGTATATTATATACAGTATAAATATATAAAACACATTATTTTTTTGTATTTGCATCTAAAATATTATTTTTCCGCCGCAACCAAAGCCCTGGTCGTGTGCGTGGCGCAAACGGCGCAAGGCGACGTCACAAACCACGATTGTGCTTTCTAAAAAAAAAAATAGGGGCACAGCGGAGTTGTTACACACCGCGCTCGTCCGCAAAATAAAAACGGAAACCTCTCGAAAGGCACCCCCCCCCCCCTCTGCTAGGCTTCACCAGCGAAAGCCGGACGCTGATAACGCGCCAGTGAGGCAGGAATTGACGGAAGTCCAGAGGGACGGGGCACATTTCAGCGTTGACAGGAGTAGGAGGTGGGTGGGGGAAAGCGGGCCCGGGGGGATATGACGGAAAGCAGAAACTTTCCGTCGCTCGGCTGTGGCCCCCACACACGTCCAGCGCCGGCTCTCGTTGGAACGGTGCGCGGTTAGGGAAGCGCTGTTTAGAACGGCGGAGCGTTGACGCTCGAGGACCTCACCAGGATGGGCCGCGCGCTGAGTGGACGGGCAAGGGATGCTCGCCATCTCGACAACGATGTGACCGTGCATGCCAAAGGCCGTTGTTGTTGGCTTAGATCGCGTCAATACGAATGTGTCGTTAACCCCGCCACCACCATGTCGTGCGAATTAGTTACGAGTACAGCACACCGGTGTGTTGGAGAGTAAAACCCACAACATTTACCACTCGAGTACGCCGGTAATTACAACCAGCATCATCAGGCGATATCCAACTCGGGCTGTCGAAACGTAAACGTTGTCGTGCGTTTACTCTCCAACACACAACCGGGCAGCGGCGAGTTGCGGAGAAATCCTCCTGTTTCCGTCTTAAAGAGAGGTGATCGATGCGATGTCGTCACTTGCGAGCCAATTGGGTGCGAAGGCCAGGAGGGAGGGTTGGGGGGGGGGGTTAATGTGCATTTCAATTACAGCAGCAGGTCGTCCCAACAGAAGAGCGCTCCACTCTGCGCGCGCGCAGCAAGGCTATTGCAAACCTGTCAACCCCTTATCAGTGCCCTACCTTATTACAGACCAATTCAGACATTATCGGTCACCCCGTGCCCCTCAAATCTCAACGTTCATCCTACAAAGTCCCATCACAAGGGAGAAACACAAACAAATAAACAAAAATTGCCCGTATTGCAACGGCCGTTCGGCGTATGGATCTGAAAACTCAATTTCCCTGTAGAAGAATACGGGGTAAACCGTGTGGGTTGACAGGGATGCTGCTGTTAACTGTCCTAATGTCCCTGATATTCGAAGCGGTTGGTTGTTGCCACAATGAACGACGGATGGTTAAGGGAGTTATAAAAAGGCACGTCAGGTGATTTGGTTAAGTCCTCAAATTGTGTCGGAATCTGGTCATGCTTTGCGTTAAAACATTCTGAAATGCCAAAAAGCGGACACGTCTGTTTGCAGATGTGGCGTAAAAAATAATGTTGAATAATAATTGACAAAAATATGAATAATCTGGAAGAAACTCGAGCAGGAAGGCCAAATGAAAGCCTGGAGGAAACGCATAGCCACCAGACCTGCCGCCTTCCCAACACCTTCCACGTCTCCACAGCTACGCTAACAAATGGCGATGTTGTGAGCGATTCCTTTGAGGAGCTAGAAGAAGGGGGGGGGGTTTCGTTTCCGTTCGGGCGACGATTAAAGCCCCGTAATATCAGCGACGGTGGACAGAAGCGCATCGCGCTTCTTCGCGGCGAACGTGATGAGATCGATCGGCGTCAGGATCTCTATTCATGCCGGAGGAATCCGATGAGCTCCCTTCATCACAGATGTCGAGCGGGAGAAATCAACACCGCTTCGTCGAGCCGCGCTCTCCGTGTCGGGGCACGGACGAATTTTCAATCGGCCCTTCGCGCATCGGGTCAAGCGCGACGGAACGGGAACGATGCAGCGTCGTCGATATTTCAAAAGCAGGTCATCATCACTTACCCGGCTGGCTTCCTGCTAAAACGTGCAACTTTGGCCCAACGTTTGCATGATATTCTGTCTGTGTGTGTTTTTTTACAACTTTGTATTTATTCCCTGACTCGGCCTACCTGTGCATGTTGGCGGGACGACTTTTATTGCAAAGACAAAGCTTGCGCATTTTGTTTGTTTGTTAGCAGTCATTCAACAGCCCTCGTCATCAAAGCGGGGACGCGAAATTATCCTCGGCGAGAACGCGCAGGCGCATTGCGCAATCGACGAGTCCACACAACCTACCGCCGACGCGTTTCAAAAGGCGAAAAAGCACGATCCCCCCCCCCCCTCCTTTAGAGCCGCGTCCACGCACGAGCGATCAGTGGGCCAACGTGAAATTGGTGCTTGGCGTTAAAAATATCGTGCGAATTTAATGGCAGGAGAGTGAACAAATACGAGCCACTGCTTTGTCCACGTGCGAGTGAGCGTCTGTGCAGCGAGGGAATTAAAACGGCGTGCGCAGGATCGTGACGACCGCTTCACAAAGGCGGCAAGCACGCGATGGGTGAAACACTGCCCGCTCCAAATCGCCGTGCGATCCGTCGCTTCAATGTCGAGTTACGTCTCTGCAATCTGTCGCAGACATCCACATACGAAGCGCTTCAACTGCGTGCAACCAAGTTGCTTGTGAGCGATCGTTTCTGGCGTGGATCCGGCTTAAGGCTGTGGGTGAGCTACCCTGACCATTAACAGTCACATGGACGACGCTGCTCCCCCCGATAAACACCGTTGGGTACGTACGGTGCGAAAGAAGTTCAACAAACACACATACACTGCACGCACAACCCTGCTTGTATGTCGGGAACGCACGGAGCTGGTGTTTTGTGCGCACAATTAATATTACACATTGCACTTCCTATCCAAAGCGTTACTTCCCCGCGACCCAAACTCCAGGACGGCGACGGTCGCACGTCCCACCCTCGCACATCCCACCGAGCCCAGTGCAGTATTTGTGCATTATGGCGTAAACTCTCGTTTGCCGTAGACGTTCAACGTATTACCAACGTTTCCGCGCATCTGTCAGCAACTCGTACAAGCAGCGACGTGGCAATGCGACGTCGACACGGTCGGTACGGGGGGGGGGGGGAAGCTTTTGCTGGTTGCCCAACTCCCCATCTCGGCCTTTGAACGCCGCCTAAATTAATTGCAGACTCTCCCCAAGGATTTTGAAAATGAGAATTCGTGTTTCTCAAGTGCAAAAAAGAAAAGAAAAATTTGTTCGAGAGTGGAACGTTTTGGAGACTTAATTTTTCACCGGGGGGACGGGGTGGTTTGTGTAGGAGAACGATGATCGTTCAACGAGACGAGCAAAGATACGCTCCGCAAATTTTGGCGGAACGTATCTTGCCCGTTGAGCGAGGCGAGCGAGATACGCTCCGCCAAAATTTGCTCATTTGAACGAGAAAAACTTTGGCGGAATGAGACGACAGCCCTGTAAACGAGCGACCGCCGCGATGCGTAAACCCTACGCAGGAGGTGGCAGCGAGTGCCGTGTGGTGGTGGAGGGCGCGAGTTTTGTTATTGCAGTGCTAAGTGCAATTAGGCCTGAGTTTCCAAGCGGCTAAGCTTTAGGTTAAGAAGCAAAAGGAGAAGTAATTAATATCCTCTTTTTCAAGTTTGTATTACATACGATGTTATCAAAATGTGCACCTGATGTGGTAACAAAAATACACTTCAATCACTATTAACTTTACCAAATGTGGTTTTTTTTTCAGGAGGTGCATGCACTATTTAACTGTGTTCTCTACACGGTTCCGGACATTTCTCCCAAACCTCCTTTTGGAAGCTGATAAAAAAAACAACTATCCCTGAAAATAGATGTCGTTTTCTTTTTTTTCTGTTTTGTCCCGTTCGACATTTCCCCGACAAATAACGCAGGCCCGCAGCAAAACAAAACATACAAATCTACATTCCAAAACAATGTAAACCCGGCGCTAAAAAAATTAAATCTCGTGAGCGGCGATCCGTCGTCAAGCCGTCGCGGGGAGGGGTGCGTGTCGACAGGCGGGCGGCTGTCGCGCTCGATTCCAAGTCGACAAAGCGACAGGGGGTCATCACAAGGTGGCCAGGGGGTCAAGGCGACGCGTGACGACGTCATCGCCGGTAGCGGTGAGAGGAGTGGGGGTTGCGGAACGACGAGCAAAGAGAGCACGCGGCAAACTCCCACCTTCCGCGAAGGAGTCCGGTTCTACACCGTGCCGGAAACTGCACGTGGGGCTTCCAACGAGGGAGCTGTGGGCCGTACGGGACAACCAAATTGCTCCAGGATAAAGGACAGAGTTGCCAGCGCGAGAGATGGGCGGGCACGCGAGTGGGATTTCGAACTTATCGTTCACTCGGTGAACGGAGGGAACATGCTGAGATCTCCGAAATCTTCGCTGCTGTAGTTGCCCGCAGCCTGAGCTGGGTCCCCGAGCATGGAGAGAACATCCTGGAGGAGAAATTAGGGGGGGGGGGGGGGGAGATACAGAAGGGTTCATTATTATTATTAATCTGTGATGGAATGTCTAGGCACATGCTAAGGTCACGGGATTGTGAAGAGGACTTGCGGTTGTTGTCCCTTACCCGCACCTCCGATTGGCAGTTGACTACGCACGATGCGAAAGAAGTTCAACACATGCGTACGTATTTCCTTTCTTGTCAAGGAGTATTTTATCTCACAGGCCTTTCTCCCCTGGTTATAGTTCATTTATTGATTTATCGATTGCAGGGGATTGTGATCTTGTCGCTGACCCGTGCACTGCGCACACAAAGATAAATATGCCCCCACACCCCCCCGTATAGCCTTAACAAACTGTTGTGCCAAGTGCTGTTAGCGAGTAGTGCACGCACGCACACGTACGCGTACACACACGCACACGTAGGCAGCTGTACGCACACACACATGCATGCACACACATGCACGCACACGTACGCACACACACACGCACACACGCGCACGCACACACGCACACACGCACGCACGCACACACACAAACGCACACGCAAACGTACGCACACACACATGCACACGCACGCGCACGCACTCACCTGGAAAACCTCGGGCTGCGTCTGCCCCTGGGAAGGGTCGTTGCCCGCCTGCCCCCCATGCTGCCCTGGCCACTGCGGCCAGATGGCTGCCCCCTCGACTCTCCGCGATTGGTACGATCCGGCGCCAGGGCTCGTCTCGGCTACTCCGTGGCCCCCCACGCGGACAGAGACACACAGACACACAGAGACATACGGACACGCACACAGAGACACACGTGGACACGCGGACACGCAGACACACGGACACGCGGACAGAAACACAGAGACACACAGAGACACACGGACACGCACACAGAGACACACGCAGACACGCGGACACGCAGACACACGGACACGCGGACAGAAACACACAGAGACACACAGAGACATACGGACACGCACACAGAGACACACGCAGACACGCGGACACGCAGACACACGGACACGCGGACAGAAACACACAGAGACACACAGAGATACGCGGACACGCACACAGAGACACACGCAGACACGCGGGCACGCAGACACGCGGACACGCGGACAGAGACACACGGAGACACACGGAGACACACGGACACAGAGACACACGGACACAGATAAGGATGATGAGCGTGGTGGACCTGTGCGAGGCATGCATCACCCACACGCGTAAACACACACAGAGACGGAGGCTTTCATCTCAAGTTGAATGAGCGTAACGTCACGTGAGTCGCTCGCGCGAGCGTACAGGAGATCCCCCGTGCAGCCTTAACAGCCTGTTGGGGCAAGTGCTGTTAGCGAGTAGCAATCTTTGAAGGCCGGAATGGCACACGAGGGGGTGGGTGGCCAGCATGATGCCCGGCCGCCTTTGTCTCCCCAGTGGCGATGTTTACACACCGCACCAGGTACTCATTTGAGGCGACCTCAGGGAGGCTCAGTACCGGTTCAGATAATCGTCACCGGTGTTGGTGGCCGTGAGCGGGAATCGAACTCGGGTCGCTGGGTTCGTAGCGCAGCAGCGCTAACCGCTGCGCCACCGTTCCCCACACGTGACACACGCACAAAACGTACACACACGCGCACACACACGCGCGATCACGGTCTCGGCATGACATCATCCGACGGGACGACTCAGGCGCGTTGAAGAGGGCGATTCGATCACAGGGAGAAGGCTGGGAGCGCTCCGGCACAAATCCCAGCGGCGGCCGAGATACGAGTTTTTTTTATTTTCTCCTAGTTTTTCTGTTATTTTTTGTTTATTTCTTTGAACCTATCTGCGTGACTTTACCGAAAGACCCAAAGAGTAATGTGAATTCCTGCAGTGACGAAAGCTTTCAGTCAAGACTTAACAACACCCTCGTCAAGAAGCTCCACCCCGCGCGGGCGGATTCGAGGAATCCTCGCCCCTCACCGTATGCGGTTCGCCCGCCCTGCATGCCGCTGTAGGGGGACCCCGTGGACCCCGGGGCCCCCTGGGTGGGGCTCCCCAGCAGGGGGTTGAACGACCGCTGGGCCCCTGACGGAGGAGCCCCCCGCCCCCCCGACTCCCTCGCCGCCCCCCACGGAGTTGGCGGCGATGGCGCCGCCGCCGCCTCCGCCCACGGAGGCCCCCGCCGGGGGCGAGAAGCCGTGAGGAGGCGGCGGCGGCGGCGCCCCCACGGAGAACGGCGCTTGCGGCTGAGGCTTGGGAACCTGGAGGAAGGAGGGAGGAGGATGGTAGGGGGTGGGGGGGATGGTAGGGGGTGGGGGGGATAGTAGGGGGGATAGTAGGGGGTGGGGAGGATGGTAGGGGGTGGGGGGGATGGTAGGGGGTGGGGGGAAGAGGAGGGGAGAGGGTGTGGGATAGTAGGTGGGGGAAGGGAGATAGGAGGGGGTGGGGGGGTAGTAGGGGGTGGGGGGAAGAGTGGGAGGGGGATAGTAGGGGGTGGGGTGGGGGGAAGAGGAGGAGGGGGAAGGGTGGGGGATGGTCTGGATAAGGCTGAGAATACTGCGACGGTGAATATTGAAGCGACGTGAATCGAAGCGAATTACAGGCGGTAGGGTATGTGGAGGCGTTGAGAGAGTGTTTGGTTGCTGTAAATTTCCACGTGATGACGAGTTACTTCATTGAGCTATAGTTTGTGGTCAGGTCGCTTCTGAGAAAGAGCTCGACTCTAACAGCTCAGTGGGGCCTTACCTAGTAAAATGAAAATAGTTTACTATGAAACATCTCCTTTACCAGTGGCAAAATATAGTAATAGGTTTTTACCCTTTCAACTGGTACAAAAACTGACACCTTTATACAAGGCATCATGTTTGCAATAACCACAACACAAGCAGTCAAAATGCAAACAAAAATAAACAACTTTGATAATGACAGTGCATATCATTATCATTATCAGAGTTGTTTCTTTTTGTTTGCATTTTGACTGCTTGTGTTGTGGTTATTGCAAACATGATGCCTTGTATATAGGTGTCAGTTTTTGTACCAGTTGAAAGGGTAAAAGCCTATTACTACGAACATATTTTAGTTTAGAGACTGTAAGAGACCCGCTTGAAAGTTGGCTACCACACCCCAAAGCAACTTGGGGGTGTGGTAGCATCATCGGCAGCAGTCTTTGATGTCGTCTTGACCCGACCTTGTCCTTACACAATCCTAACACGAGGCAGTGAGATGAGCCCAAGCCGGGCTGTTACGCTCGCTCGCTCCGTTCGGCGAGATAAAATATAATTCACTTTTAGACGTACACACGCACAGTTCCTCTGCGAGTAGTGGGGGGCGGTGGTGGGTGGTGCGGAGGGACTAACCTGGCCGGTGAAGGCTGGCCGCGTAGCGGGCCACGCGTTTGCCACTCCCAGGCCGTTTGCCGGCGGGCGCTGTGGCGTCTGAACGAGGACTTGGCTCCCCACGCCGCCCTGCAGGTTCACCCCGGGCACGATCGCCGGAGTGCCGTGCGCGTGCGGGTGCCTGAGCGCACGCAACGTCCAGTTGATGAAACGAAACAAAAACAACCAAAGAACAAACGTGGGCTCTTTTGTAGCCACTCGCGACGATCGGTACGGTTGGGTCCTCGCTTAACGCGTGGTGCGGTAGTTACACTGCACCGTGTTGTGCTACAACGCGGGCTCATCCGTTCGGGAACGCTTTTCACGCCGCTGTAACGCGCGCCGCTATCACGCGGTTTCTGAGCGGTCGACGCCGAACTACTGAGCGGCACGGCGATAGAGTAACGCGGCACGACACGGTAGCGCGGGGTGGCGGCGTTACCCTCGGTAATTTATCCCGCCATCTCCCAGTGTGCGCGCGCGTACATCCTTGTGAAACGTTCAGATGCACGGGGAGGATGGTGTCGGTTAGTCAGCAGTACGTACTTGTATGGCTGGGCTGGGTGGGCCGGCCGGTAAGGCATGTTGTGCTGGTACATCTCCACAGAGCTCACTCCTCCTCCTCCCCCCATGGGCTTGGTGCTCAGCTTCTGATCTGCTGGAGGACGAAAGCGTCAAGGACAACCGGAACGTTTCACGTCAGGGGTGGTGAAGCTAATGATCCACCCGCACACTCGACGCTACGCGGCGGGTCGGGGAGCGGCAGAACTATGAAGCGCCACCAATGCTGCGCACGACTGAGAATTGCACTGCAGGTTACTGGAATCATACCGTATCCGGCTGCTATAAATGTTCACGTGATGATGATGATGAGCCATTTCGCTGAGCTATCATACGCAATAGCGAGGTAGCTTCTGAAAAATAAGCTAATAGCTCAGTGGGATCAGATATTCCTCACGGAAGTTGACGGCGAGTGGAAATGGAACTCTGGTCGCAGTGCGCCAACTGCTCCACCTCCACACGCTCAATGGTGCGCACCTACGAACCGACACGCCTACACATTCTCTCACGCGCACACGCACAAACAGTTGTGGTTTCTTGCAGTTATAAATGTCGTTTTAAAATGCCATATGCAAGTTTCTGTCGCGAATGTCACGCAAAACGTTATTTTATATCGGTTACTAGATTTACATTGTACGTAGCTTTGGGTGTTTACCATTATTTATCTGTCATGTCGAAACATTTCTCCCGCTTTTATTCTACGCGGCCCCTGTAAACCCTCCCTTCCCATCTAACATGCTGGCTACCATCATACCAGCCGCTCTACGCGGCACCTGGAAACCCTCCCTAAATCACGTGCTCGCTACCGTCGCATCCGCCGTGCTACGCGGCCCCCGTAAACCCTCCCTGTCCCACGTAACGCGCTGGGCCAATCGTTTCATCACCCGTCCTACAACACAACCGATGTAAACCTCTCGCCTCCCCCCGTAACTCGCCAGGGCACCGGTTTTACGGCCGAGTTGTCGCCGCCGCAAGAGCGACGCGCACACACACATTTCGCAGTTCGTTTCAGGGTCCGACCAGGAAACGAAACGACCCCGGGGACGCGAACGAGAGGGGGGTCGGGGGTTCGGGGCGCGTGGGGGCCACCACCTTGCTGCAGGCCCTGGTACACCTCGGTGAAGCGTGGGCTGCGCTCAGTCCCACCGAACACCGGCTCCGTCTTCTCCACGACGCGCTTGGCCCCGTGCGGCTCGGCACACACCGGGCCGGTCGGCACGGCCTGCAGCGGCATCTGCGCGGGCGGCGAGAGGGGGGCGGACACGCACGAGCGGCGGCGTCGGCTCGGAGCCAAACAAGTGGTGGGCGGAGGGGGGGGGGCAGGAGACTAAACTAACTCATAGTAAAGGGGGTTTTGTTGGGTGAAATCGCCTAAATGTAAATGTGTCGTTAAACCGGCCAACCCAAACGAAACGTGACCAATTAGTTACTGGTTCAGCACGCCGGTGCGTTGGAGAGTAAACCCACAACATTTACAAATGAGTACCACGTTTTTGCTGGGTTAACGACACGTTCACATTTACGCGATCCAACCCACATTCTTTTTTTTACTATGGATAATAACCGTCGCGAAAGCCTACGTGTTATATTACCGCATTTTTCCGGATTATAAAACGCACTTCCCTTACCCCCTGCCCCGCTGTGTTATAACGGTATAGATGTCCAGATTTGTAGAATTTGATTGACACCGGGCACACATTTTTAACTTCGATTAGTTTCTACTTCAGCGCCCCCAATTTGAGTACCATGACGCTTTCACATCGAAGAGACGTGAAGGTATGGTTGGTGGATCGCTGCCCACCTCACAGCCTGGCAGGTGACGGCTGCTGCGTTATTGTTTTTTGTCCACGTGATGCCGATCACTTACCACGCGTCGGTTATCGAGATATCAGTTTCCCGTAGCTGTGCTATCGTATTTCTTGTGCTCTGTCCACCAACCCATTACGAATCGAGATGACTTACAAGTTCTCAAACTGCAGCAAAGCTCAACATAAGCCTGCCACGAGTCTTTCTAACTTTTAATAATAATAAAAATTGGGTTCATAATTGAAAATCATTTTTCCAATCTGTCAGACACGGAAACGATCACGCGGACTTTGCCGTGCAACGAACGACTGGTCAGGAACCCTACACACGGCAGTATTAACCAGGGCGGTTAATACTGCCCGGGATTCCAATCGTGAAACCTCTGCAACAGCAAGCGGCGACCAACGCCAACCAGAGGTCGCAACCGGGAACCCGATACCCATACCCTACACGATAGCCGGCTACCCGTACCCAGCCGGGTACGGGTACGGGTAGCCGTTTGCGACCCTGGTGCGGCCGGGTACGGGTACGGGTAGGCCAGTGAGTCACTGGTGAGTAACCGTTTGCCACTCATTTCGGGTAGGCTACGGGTACGGGTAGGGAACGGGTACCCATTTGCGACCCTGGTGCGGCCGGGCACGGGTAAGGAATCAAAACCCGTTTGCGACCTCTGATGCCAACCAACGCCACCGCCGCACACCTGCGTCGTTTCGTAGTGAGCGATGCTCGCTCTGGCCGTCGGAGCGCCCAGCTCTGCTTGCGGCTGCTGGTGTTGCTGCTGCAGCTGCAGCTGCCTGGTGCGTCACGCACACACACATAAACACACACGAACAAGAGCGGTTTGTCAAGCAAGACAGGCCACACATCGTCGGACGGTCGCAGACAGAGAGGAGGCTCCGGTAATTATCGACGTTCCGTTTTTGTATTGCATCGACAAGATGAACAAAAAATGTTAATCTCGTGGACGCCGATGAACCACGGGGATGAGCTACTGGAGCTATGCTCTTTTAAATCGTCTAGAAAACGAATTTCTTGAGAACTGTTTTTCGTGTTTAGTTTGTTGTCCTTCCCCCGAACCTCCGAATAAGCGTAGTTGGCTACATACGGTGCGCGATAGAAGTTCAACATGCGTACGTATGAGTGTGGGTCTCTGTGGGTCTATAGGAGTGGAGCTGTCTGGCTCTCGATGGGTTTCTTCATTTTGATATTAAGAAGCCGCTGGAGCTACGCACTTTGAAATCGTTTAGAAAACGAATTTCTTTAGAACTGCTTTGTGCGTTTCGCTTGCCGTCCCGTCCCCCCGCGCCTCCGATTACGTACGGTGTGCGAAAGAAGTTCAACGTATGTACGTACGTATTCTTAGGTTTTTTCGGTAAAGTCACGTAGGTAAAAAATTTAAATTAATAAAAGTAAAATAAAAATCACGACGTTTCAGGAGGCAACACAAGCTTCCGTCTTCAGGTGGAACCGTCACAGCACGCTTGCTGTATCAAGTAAATGAGAGATTCCAAGAGATATTACCCCGTATATATACTGGTTTGAGGGGTGGGGGGTGATGGGCCAGGACAGGCCCCCTTTTTATTATTATGGTAAGGTGCGGCTTGAGACTACGGCTAGTCTACATACGTACGTACGCACACACGTACGGCCGTACGGAGGGCGGCACCGCGCACGACGGGAGACTCGGGACTCAACGCGAGCGCACTTTTGGGCTGGCTCGGGACGCGATCACGCGCGGCTCTCACTTGACGTTGGTGTTGGTGCACACGATGTACTCCACGTCGTCGGAGAAGGGGTTCTGGAAGGTGAAGCTGCTGGTTCGCAGCCAGATCCACTCGCCGCTCTTGCTGTGGAATCGGAACATCACCGACAGCACCTGCCCCTTCAGCTTGAGCACCTGAGTTCGCGCGCACGTAGCAGGGGAGTTGGCAAAATGAAAAAAGGCATTGCAAAAGATTGCGGCTATTATTAATTAACATCACCATCAGCATCATCATAGTAACTCTGTACTACAGCCACTGTCACCCTGTACTACAGCCACTGTCACCCTGCACTACAGCTCCTGTCACACTGCACCACAGCTCCTGTCACCCTGCACCACAGCTCCTGTCACCCTGCACCACAGCTCCTGTCACCCTGCACCACAGCTCCTGTCACCCTGCACCACAGCTCCTGTCACCCTGCACCACAGCCCCTGTCACCCTGCACCACAGCCCCTGTCACCCTGCACCACAGCCCCTGTCACCCTGCACCACAGCTCCTGTCACCCTGCACCACAGCCCCTGTCACCCTGCACCACAGCTCCTGTCACCCTGCACCACAGCTCCTGTCACCCTGCACCACAGCTCCTGTCACCCTGCACCACAGCTCCTGTCACCCTGCACCACAGCTCCTGTCACCCTGCACCACAGCCCCTGTCACCCTGCACCACAGCCCCTGTCACCCTGCACCACAGCTCCTGTCACCCTGCACCACAGCTCCTGTCACCCTGCACCACAGCTCCTGTCACCCTGCACCACAGCTCCTGTCACCCTGCACCACAGCTCCTGTCACCCTGCACCACAGCTCCTGTCACCCTGCACCACAGCTCCTGTCACCCTGCACCACAGCTCCTGTCACCCTGCACCACAGCCCCTGTCACCCTGCACCACAGCTCCTGTCACCCTGCACCACAGCTCCTGTCACCCTGCACCACAGCCCCTGTCACCCTGCACCACAGCCCCTGTCACCCTGCACCACAGCTCCTGTCACCCTGCACCACAGCTCCTGTCACCCTGCACCACAGCTCCTGTCACCCTGCACCACAGCCCCTGTCACCTTGCACCACAGCTGCGGTCACCCTGCGCTACTGCTCCCTGCTGGCAGACTAATGCCCGCAGAGGTCACTCTTGCGAATTAAATTATATCCGGGTCTCTTGGGTTCGCCCTTGGTTAGCAAAACAAACTTGGCACCTTTGAATGTGCACAATCTCATCCTTCTCCCCCCCACCCGGGGCTAGCGGGGCTAGTGGGGCTAGCGGGGCTAAGCGGGGCAGGCCTGTGTGCCACGGTGTCTGATCGCTGGTCGCCGCACCTGCTGGAAGCTGTCACGCACGTGGTTCTGGTCCTCGACGTGACAGAACTCAACAGGGTCCTTCCCAAGAAGCTCCTGCGCGCACACGGAGGACACGCGGAGGACACGGGGAAGATACGAGGACACGTGAGGACACGCAGAGGGCAAGCAGGGGACAAGCAGAGGACAAGCGGAGGACATTCGCTCGGCACACCTGCGGCTGAAATCCGAGGACGCTGACGCATCTGTGGTCGACGAAGGTGAAGACCCCATCCATGTTGTGCCGCGAGATGAACTCCGTCGGGACGGAGATGCCCGTCATGTCCGAGCAATTGGGGGAACTGGTCACCTGCAAACGCACGAGCCCACGAGCAACCGCGGGTCACGCGTGACGCTCAACGGCACCAAGCCAAGATTTTGTGACATCTCCTTTGGGGGGAGGGTCCTGCATCCCTGACGATTGTTCATCCGCCGCTCGTCGCAAAATGTAGATATAAATACGTTAAAAGTGCAAACAGAAGTGAAAAAGTACTTCGGGAGGAGCGGGAGAGCAAAATTCAAGAGGAAATAGTCATAGGAATCTAAATATATATATATTTTATTCAAAATGTGGAGGGAAAACCGGAGGACCCTGAGGAAAATCCAAACGACCACGGAGAGAGAGAAAGAACACGCAAACTCCAAATAAATAACAGGTGTCAGGGGTCGGGATCGAACCCACGCCCCTCCTGTACACCAGGCGAGGTAGTTAACATTTCCTCGCCACCGTGATGATGATGAGAGAGAGACAGGCAAACTCCAATTATACAGCAGCAGGCGTCAGGGGTCGGGATCGAACCCACGCCCCCCCTGTACACCAGGCGAGGTAGTTAACATTTCATGGCCACCGTGATGATGATGAGAGAGAGACAGGCAAACTCCAATTATTCAGCAGCAGGCGTCAGGGGTCGGGATCGAACCCACGCCCCTCCTGTACACCAGGCGAGGTAGTTAACATTTCCTAGCCACCGTGGTGATGAGAGAGACAGTGTTTCAATCCGCCTACCCTGGTGTTGGTGTCGTACCTGTAGCCTGCCGATGGCCACGAGACAGAACTTGCTGCCCTGTCCAGCCTCCGCCTCCTCGTCCGGGATGGCCATCCCTGGCAGCGCGTGGGGAGGGCGGGGGGAAGGACGCAGCGTCAGTCAAAACGTTGCACTACAGGAACCGCGTCGGTCAAATACAAAGGTCACCCGGGTAGCTGTACGGACTTTTGGGTCAAGTGCTGTTAGCGAGCACGTATTAAGGTCGGCTCGGACCATGTGGTGGGAGGAGGGGGGGAGAAGTCGCGTAGCCAGCACCACGCCTAGCTGCCGTCTCCCCGGCACTGATGCTCACACAGCGTGCCAGGTACTCATTGAAGGCTCTGTCAAGCCATGGCAGCTGCTCCAGGACCGGGATCAGATCATCTCCACTGATGTTACAGCTTGGTACGCGAACCACAGCACCACCACTCCCCCACCCCCCTCCCGGAATTTACAGACGCATGCATGTCAGAGAGTGCGGACCGAGGTAACGCGCAAAGCTTCGAGTAGAATCATTACTCGGAATCGCGACCAATCAATCTTAGCAAGGCGAGGGCGGCGGAGTGGGGGGGGTGGCGGGAGGTGGGGGGCAGGGTGATCCATTAACCTGAGCCCTAATCGATCGTTTGCACACAAGCCGCACGGAAAGTCTGACGCGAGATGCGTGCCGCTCCGCTCACCTGAAAAAGCCCCAAGGTTGGAGGCCACTGAGCTGCCTATGGGGAGCCAAACACACAGGGGGGGGGCCCACGGTCAACGTCTTAAACTAATAATTGTTCTAATTTTTAGTACCGTGAAAAACGATGCAATATTATCGGGTAACATCAACGGAGAATAGCCATTTCGATGGAAGAAATGTCGTTTTTACGCGGGGTTTTTTGAAGAAGGCATCCCCGGTCGCCAATCGAGGGTTGCCCGTACAGGCTATGTTTGTGTTAAAGGGCGGGGTGACGGGGCAGGGTGTTGTTGGAGAACGCACCGGCGGGCGGCCAAGCCTTGATGTATCCTGTGCAGTGCACCACGGCGTACTGCGGCTCCCCGTCCTTGACGGGGCCCAGACCGTTCCTGCGAGCAAACACCGGCACAGTTCATCGACACGCGAAGGACGATTTTGCTGCTGTCGGTCCGAGCGAAAAAGAAACGGCCAACCACAAAAACAAGTTGGGGAGCGGGGGACAATCAACAGCTCGTATTGATAGCAAGAAAGAAGCGCGGGCACGTAATGCCTCCCGACATGCGTTTGTCCTGCATACCAAGCAAGGTAGTTAACATCTCCAAGCCACCGTGATGATGATGATGAGAGAGAGAGACACCACAAACTCCAAATACACAGCAGCAGGCGTCAGGGTCAGGATCGAAGCAATGACCTCCTGCATACCAAGCGAGGTAGTTCACATCTCCGAGCCACCGTGATGATGATGATGAGAGAGAGAGACACCACAAACTCCAAATACACAGCAGCAGGCGTCAGGGTCAGGATCGAAGCAATGACCTCCTGCATACCAAGCGAGGTAGTTAACATCTCCTAGCCACCGTGATGATGATGATGAGAGAGAGACACCACAAACTCCAAATACACAGCAGCAGGCGTCAGGGTCAGGATCGAAGCAATGACCTCCTGCATACCAAGCAAGGTAGTTAATCCTAGCCACCGTGATGATGATGATGAGAGAGAGAGAACACCACAAACTCCAAATACACAGCAGCAGGCGTCAGGGTCAGGATCGAAGCAATGACCTCCTGCATACCAAGCGAGGTAGTTCACATCTCCGAGCCACCGTGATGATGATGATGAGAGAGAGAGACACCACAAACTCCAAATACACAGCAGCAGGCGTCAGGGTCAGGATCGAAGCAATGACCTCCTGCATACCAAGCGAGGTAGTTAACATCTCCTAGCCACCGTGATGATGATGATGAGAGAGAGACACCACAAACTCCAAATACACAGCAGCAGGCGTCAGGGTCAGGATCGACGTCCTAGCCACCGTGATGATGATGAGAAAGAGAGAGAGACACACAAACTCCAAATACACAGCAGCAGGCGTCAGGGTCAGGATCGAAGCCACGACCTCCTGCATACCAAGCGAGGTAATTAACATCCTGGCGCTACACGGTGGCTAGGGAGATGTTATATTTACAACGGATGGCACCCGCGCTAGCGCTGGGCAGCGTCGCGGCTCACTCACCTGAAGCGAAGGTGGCTGAGCCGGTTCATGGAGAGGGGGTCGACCGGAGTTGTGCCGCACCTGCCACGACAAACCAACAAAAACAGTCGAGTGTTGAAAGCGTCCGCGCCACGAGTCTGCGAGAACTTGCGGCTCATGAGCCGCATGTGGGGGGGGGGGGGGGGTCAAGCGCGGCTTCACAAAGAGACGCAGCAGATCCCCTCACTGCCTCTCCTCCCGTGGGCATTGATTTCTAAGAGCATTCATACTGTTAGGAACCACTTGGTTCCATCCAAAAATGGGAGGGGTGGGGCTGGGTGGAGAGGGGAGGGTGGGGAGTGGCTGGGTGGGGAGGGTGGGGAGGGGCTGGGTGGGGAGGGGCTGGGTGGGGAGGGGCTGGGTGGGGAAGGTGGGGCTGGGTGGGGAGGGTGTGGAGGGGCTGGGTGGGGAGGGTGGGGAGGGGCTGGGTGGGGAGGGTGAGGAGGGGCTGGGTGGGGAGGGTGGGGAGGGGCTGGGTGGGGAGGGGAGGGTGGGGAGGGGCTGGGTGGGAAGGGTGGGGAGGGGCTGGGTGGGGAGGGAGGGGCTGGGTGGGGAGGGGAGGGTGGGGAGGGGCTGGGTGGGGAGGGGAGGGTGGGGAGGGGGTGGGTGGGGAGGGTGGGGAGGGGCTGGGTGGGGAGGGACTGGGTGGGGAGGGGAGAGTGGGGAGGGGCTGGGTAGGAAGGGTGGGGAGGGGCTGGGTGGGGAGGGAAGGGCTGGGTGGGGAGAAAGGGGTGGGGAGGGGCTGGGTGGGGAGGGGCTGGGTGGGGAGGGAGGGGCTGGGTGGGGAGAAAGGGGTGGGGAGGGGCTGGGTGGGGAGGGGCTGGTCACCCCGTGGTGCCCTTATAAAACTCAACGTTTAACCTACTCACGCGGCTTGTGCCCGCCCTCACCGTCGGGCATATTTGCGGAATACACCACGCCGCCGTTGACCCTGGCCATTGACCGAGCAACCCAACGTTCCTACCAGCTCCCTCTGCAGGGGTATCAGAGCTTTGGAAGACACCAGGGTTGTAGAGTTTATTGAAACGTGCAGTTTAGTTTCCATTGCACTGTAATCTATAATGTGTTTGTGCTGGTGTCAACCCCCTTTCATATCCTGTGTTGTGTACCTGAATCTTTGTTTCTATAATACTTTTTGAAAGAAAGAAGAGACGCAGAAGATTCCTGACTTTTCCATGGAACTAATTTTTTTTTAAAGAGAAAAATAAATCTGCGGAATTGGGAGCGACCCGGGACACTCACCCTTCGCAGCGGACTCACACATGAGCACTCCCAAGGTGCTCCTGCAGATATATTTCTAAAATCAAAACCTCACAGCCAACCGGTGGGCACTAACCGACCCCGTGACCTCCCCACGCGCGTCTTGCGGCTCTTGGTCACATGAACATTTGGGTACGTGGCTCATCGGGTCAAAAACCTGGCAACCCCACCTTGGTCTACACGAGCAAGGAGCGTGCGAACACGTCCACACGTCCACGTGCCAAAATCTGAATCTTAACCTGGAGAAATTCGATGAGCTACAAACCTGTTTCTCGCAGATGTCCAGGAGGGGCGGGTCAGAAAGCTCGCAAGCTGCCAGCTTTGTACTGCGCTCTAAGGATACTGGAAAATCGATGCCCTCTAAAACACGTGGCCAGTGCGTACAATGTACATCCTTTTTAGCAGTCTTTTGCTCAGTTTCTGTCAGCAATTGGGATCTTTATAACCTAAAAGTATGAATCCCTGCAGTCACGAAAGCTTCAAATCTAGAATTGGGATCTTGGCGGTGTAACGCTTGTGTGATGTCTGTGTGTGTGTATAGTGTAGCGGTTAGCGCTACGCTGCGCTATGAACCCGGCGACCCGGGTTTGATTCCCGCTCACGGCCAACACCAGTGACGATTATCTGAACAGATCGAGTCAGGCTCAAATGAGTACCTGGTACGGTGTGTAAACATCGCCACTGGGGAGACAAAGGCGGTCGGGCGTGGTGCTGGCCACCCACCCCCTCGTGTACCGTTCTGGCCTTCATAGGTGCTCGCTAACAGCACTTGCCCCTACAGTCTGTTAAGGCTATACGGGGGATCTTTGTCGATATACAATATGCATGTGTTTACATGCTTATGTGCCCCTGGATATTTTTCACGTGGTTTTGTGATAATTGCACCATCTGTGCCCCCTAATTTGATACAGTAGGGGGCACAGATGGTGCATTTGCCAGTCATCTCAGTCAGTCAACCCATGGCACCTGGGTCTGTTCTGTGATCTGCCAGCGGGCGTTCGACACATCACGTGGTCTTAACGTGCGCATAGCCTGGCACAAGCGTGGCGAATGGCGGTTGTTGTTGTTGTGTTTCCCTGTGCATGTGTGCACGTGTCTATACCCATGTGCGAGCCAATGACGCAGTGGCTGTTGTGTTGGGAGCGGTAGTGTAGTGGTGCTATGAACCCGGTGTCTCAATGTCCGTGCGTGGTGTTAGCCGCGTCACCCCCTCCCGCACAGTGTTGGCCTTCGCATGTGCTACTCGATAAACGGCACTTGCCCCAACAGTCTGTTAAGGCTACACGGGGGAACCTTCGTCTTTGTAATGTCGTTGCCGCCAAGCCTCACCGCATGCGGCAGATGAAGGATCGCCGTGAGCCCATGCACATGCGCATGGACGACTGCTGCCCGTCCTTCTTCACGGTGCCCGTCTTCAGGTCCAGTATACGTCCTGAGCACCAGCAACACAAGCACCACAGACCCATTCAACCCACCGCACCCCACTAACGTACGAGACAACTCGGGTACGGTACAACGCAGCACAAAGTGGAAGGGTCAGAGCCGTGTGTGTCTCTGTGCGTGTAGCTGTGCAGATGTACCGGTGTTGCTGTGTTTATCTGTCTAGCTGTTGCCGAACGAGCACATTATGAGGTCGCACTGATTACACACAAAGTGCTTGCCACAAATGAACCACCAACACCTTGCTGATATCGCCAAGGAGCATAAACCATCACGCAAACTCTGGTAGTCCTCGCAACAGCGACTTTTGGTTAACCACTGAAAAAAGGTGGCCACTGCATCGCCTCCTTCCAGATGTGCTTCTGCGGCCGTCTGGAATACGCTACGCTGCGCTACGAACCCGCCCACCCAAGTTCGATTCCCGTTCACGGCCAACACCAGTGACGATTATCTTAACCGGACCTGGGCCTCCCCTAAATTGAGTCAGCCTCAAATGAGAACCTGGTGCGGTGTGTAGTAAACATCGCCACTGGGGACACAAAGGTGGCCAGGCGTGGTGCTGGCCACCCACACCTTTGTGTGGCGTGCCGGCCTTCCAAGGTGCTCTCTCACAGCAGTGTCTCCAACAGCCTGTTCAGGCTATATGGATGATCTTTGGTGTTGGTGACAGAGCTGATGGTGCTGGTGCCTGATGGTGATTCATCGCCAGGGCCGTCCCATGGGGGGGGGGGGGCGACTCACACTGTGTGGGTCCCCCCGACGCCATCAAAGCTCGGCCGGGAGTGGTGCTGGCCACCTTACCTCCTCGTGTGCCGTGTCGGCCTTCATGGGTGCTAGTTGCTATCAGCACTTGCCCAAACATTCTTTCAAGGCTGTCTGGGGAAATCTTTATATTGTGTAGGTCTATCTGCGCATTAGGGTTGCGTGCGTGCATGCGTGCGTGCAGGTGTGCGTGCAGGTGTGTGTGTGCAGGCGTGCGTGTGTGCAGGTGTGCGTGCGTGTAGGTGTGCGTGCGTGCAGGTGTGCGTGCAGGTGTGCGTGTGTGCAGGTGTGCGTGCGTGCAGGTGTGCGTGCATGGATGTGCTTGCGTGTGGACGTGCATGTCCGCATGCGTGCATGCGAATGTGCGTGCATGTGTGCGTGGGTGCGGACGTGCGTGCGTGCATGTGCAGGTGTGCGTGCATGTGCAGGTGTGCGTGCGTGCATGTGCAGATGCGCGTGCGTGCATGTGCAGGTGTGCGTGCATGTGCAGGTGTGCGTGCGTGCATGTGCAGGCGTGCGTGCATGCATGTGCAGGTGTGCATGCATGTGCAGGTGTGCGTGCGTGCGCAGGTGTGCGTGCATGCATGTGCAGGTGTGCGTGCGTGCATGTGCAGGCGTGCGTGCGTGCATGTGCAGGCGTGCGTGCGTGCATGTGCAGGCGTGCGTGCGTGCATGTGCAGGCGTGCGTGCGTGCATGTGCAGGTGTGCGTGCGTGTGCAGGTGTGCGTGCGTGTGCCGACCGGCCATGGCGCTCTCCGAGGTGCTGAGCTGCTCGCGCAGCTTGTCCCCGTCGTCGGGGTGAACCAGCTCGTAGAGCGTCCTGCCGAACCACTCGGACTGCGGCTGGTTGAGCACGGGCGTGAGCGAGTCCGAGACGTAGACCACGCGGCCCGTCTCGCACGCCGCCACAAACAGGAAGCCGTCAGCCGCCTCCAGAATCAGGTGCTTTAGCTCCTGGAAGGGGCGGGGTGGGGGGGGGAGAGGTCACGCACGCGCAGAGCTCGTTGCTGGGACATGGGAGTGGGATCGACGGACAGCCACGAAGCTGTCGGTTAAAGCCATTAAGACGGTCCAGGCAATTGAGACAGTTGAGGCGAGTTAAGGCAATCAAGGGAGTTGAAAAGCAGATACAAAGGGGTGAAATGGCAGATGGGAGTGCAGTTAAGCCTGGAGAGGGCAGTGCCTGTGTTGTGAGAGCTCTGTATGAAGTTAAAGAAGAAGTATACGAGTGAAAGTTAACACGTTACTGATTGTTCAAATTGTAGAGCAGTATAATTTGTATTAACTTGTGTTACCCATTTGGGTTCAAACAACCACGAACGTCAGTTTTCTCTTACGGTTTATACCGTCAAATTTAGGCGACATTACATTTGCCTTATACAATTATCTTATCAAGATTTATATAGCACCACCTAATTCCAAGGCGCTTTACAGCAAATTGTACAATTGTACGTAAGATGACGGTGGTTGAGATAATAAAGTGTGGGGTTGTTGTTGTTTTTTTTCATAAGAAACGTTGTTGTTGTTCTTGCAAGTGGCGGTGTGGTTATGGTCACAGTTAGGAGAACAGGCGGGAGAGGTTAAGGACAAGTTGGGGTAGTGATAGGGGTTGGGCTAGTGATGGGAGTAGGGGTATGGGGTAGTGATGGGGTAGTGATAGGGGTTGGGGGTAGTGATAGGGGTTGGGGGCAGTGATAGGGGTGCAGGGTAGTGATAAGGGTAGTGATAGCGGTTGGAGGTAGTGATAGGGGTCCAGGGTAGTGATGGGGGTATGGGGTAGTGATAGGGGTTGGAGGTAGTGATAGGGGTCCAGGGTAGTGATGGGGGTATGGGGTAGTGATAGGGGTTGAGGTAGTGATAGGGGTCCAGGGTAGTGATAGGGGTATGGGGTAGTGATGGGGGTCGTGATAGAGGTTGGGGTAGTGATGAGGGTCGGGGTATTGGGTAGCGATGGGGGGTAGGGGTCAGGGCATGGCGCCACACACAGCCCTCTGGCACACCTGGTCCGTGAGGAAGGACGGTTTGTAGGCGCCCTCTGTGGGCGTGTTGCCCGTGCCGCGCAGCGACTTCATGTGCGACACGGCCATGCGCAGGATGGTCAGCTTGTCGGGCTTGCGCGCCAGCGCACTGCACGTGGGGACCATGTCGGACAGCTCCGTGATGTACGCCGTCATCTTGTTGCGCCGCCGCCGTTCGATCTCGCTGTGGTTCTCCCTGCGCACGGTCGCGGCCAGTAGGTTTTGCCGACCATATCAGCGCGGAGTTTTTTTTTTTTAGCACGTGCGAAGATTATTTCGCAGCTTGGCAGTCCGGTTCCGGCTCAGATTTCCACACACGAATCAGAGGCTACCCAAAAACTAGCTGTTTCGGGGGAAGGATTTTCCTCAACAACTCAACTGCAGTAAGTTCCGCTATCACGCCGTGTGGATTTCATAACGCGAATTTGATAACGCGATTAATGTATTAGGGAACACATTTTTTTTAGAACGCGGAATGCGAACTGGACAGAACTACGTCGCAGTGCGAGTAGGAATACGCGGTTTGTATGGGTGCCTCGGCGTAGCGTCGCAAAAGGCATTGGGATGCTGCTGGATGCTACCCCACACGCCTCAAGACTTGTTCAGCCTGCATACGCACCTTACGTGTAATCGCGGACTGTGCTTTATCCAATATAGTAGACACTCAATTATCCACGTGCGGTTTATCCGATTTGCGGATTAACCACTTGTGGATTTTCCCTTAAACCCAAATTAATAATCTAAAAACACTTTTACATTGTTATATAAACTGAACAAATACGTGCTTCGGTTAATCCGAAGTCCACGTGATCACCTCTACAGTACAGTAGTTGTATATCTTTACAACGATGGGCGGCGTTTGATTGATGTTGATTGGCGTGCCTCTGCATCTTCTGTGCGGGAGCAGGGAAGTGTTATCAGAGCACGTGCATCGATCGGTCGACCGTCAGCATTCGCTCTAAATCAAAAGAGTAACAATCGAAATCATCAGTTGTGCTAATTGAGTGATTTATCGGATCATTGATTTTGCGAGTTTTTTATTATACATACATTAGTGGTTTTTGGCACAGAGATCCGCGGAAAATTGTTATATTTTCAGATGATCCGCGATTTTGAATAATCCGCGGCCGTCCTCCCCGTCATTCGCACAATCGAGAGGCTAATGTATTAAATGTTATTCATTATAACGCAATTTTTTCACAACGCGCTGTTCTTCGGGGAAGAAACTACCGTCGCCTTAGCAAGAGAACAGAGACTGGACACTTCAGGACGTGTGCACGCAGCTTCGAGCGCACCGGATACGATCGTTCCATCCGCAGGTGGGCGGCTTGGGGTGTCCGAAGATGGGAGCTGGCACATTTCACTGCGAGTTGGCTCCCCGTAGTTTTTTTTTTTTTAAACGGTGAGCACGGCACAGCGTCAACGCCCGTTTTAAATCGCGTAAAAGAGCGCAAACGGCCTGGAATGCATCCGATCTCCGACCACGGAGGCCAAGCGGGATTATAACGCGTTTTAAACGTAGGCTTTCATTACTAAAATCATGATTCAGTTGTATTTTTATTTGGGGGGGGGGGGGGGGGTGTTAGGTTGTGTGTAATTGTACAGTAGACCCTCCTCCACCTATATGTACTGTATGTCGAACTTCTTTCGCACCATACGTAACCAACCGTGCTGTTTAGAACTTCTATCGCACCGTATATGTAGCCAACCAAGCTGTCTGTATGTTGAACTTCTTTCACACTACGCAAGCCAATCGTGCTAATTGGAGGTGCAGGGGAAGGACAACAAACTAAAAAACACAAAAAGCAGTTCTAAAAAAATTAGTTTTCCATCGAGATGATGATTTAAACGTCCATAGCTCCCAGTGTCTTCCTAATATCGGAAGGAAGAGCGCTTCGGCCGGCCGCAGAAGCGCATCTGAAAGCGCCGCGCGGTGCGGTGACCACCATCTTTGTCCGATGGCTGAGCTAAAAGCCGCCGCCGCTGCTGCGAGCATAACCGAAAGGTCACTTATTATAAACATTTCCTGCTCTGGCCGCATGCACAGTGTTGCTGACAAACGTGCCGAGTTTCCTGTGTTACTCGTGCACCGCTGCCAATGGAGCAGCATCACCAAAACAATTTGTTTAAAAGGAAGAAGGCGGAATCTATGAGGGGGGGAAGGGGGGGGTTATAGAAGCAGTGCAACAAGATAAGTTGACAGCTGAGAAAGGCAGGACACATTCAAGAGGCTTTGGGGTGGTGGGGGGTCAACCCTCCGATGAAGGGTTTGCACCAGAATCCTCTTGTCAAGACTGTCCGTGCAAATGCTATGCGAGTACAACAAAGGTTACAGAGCGCTGGCTCACTCACTCACACAAAGTCAAAGATTCCCCGCATAGCCTGTAAACAGACCGTCGGGGCAAGTGCTGTTAGCGAGAAGCACCGATGCGGGAGCGGTAGCACAACACAGGGGGCGGTAGTACAGCGGTTAGAGCGCTGCATTACGAACCCGGCGAACCCGAGTTCGATTCCCGCTCACGGCCACCACCAGTGACGATTATCTGAACCGGTTACGTGCCTGCTCTAGGTTGACCTCAGCCTCAAATGAGTACCTGGTGTGGTGTGTGAACATCACCAATGGGGAGGCAAAGGCAGTTGAGCGTGGTGCTGACCCACACCGACCCCCTCGTGTGCCGTGCAAGCCATCATGGGTACTCGCTCACCTACCCACAAGGTTGCAGAGCTCACAAGAAAGGGTGAGTGGGCTATATTAGAGTAATGCAAATCTGCACAAGATGACCAGGGGCACTGAGTGAGAGGACTGGGACCATGGGCTCGCTACAATTGCAGGGTGGCTCAAAACTCAGAGCTTCGAAGTCAGAATCCCACTGACGGATTACCGGGAGGGATACTCTCTTAGGTTTTTTCAGTAAAGTCACGTAGGTAAAAAATAAAATTAATAAAAGTAATACAGCAATCGTGCTGTGACGGTTCCACCTGAAGACGGAAGCTTGTGTTGCCTCCGAAACGTCGTGATTAAATCCTTTATATTAAGTTCGCTTGCTTGCTTGCGTGCTTGCTTGCTTGCGACCGTGCAAACCTTTCGGTCGTTTTTTAACCCACTTCCCGTGATCCAATCGAGCTGACATTTTGCACACAGACTCGTTGTGCGAGACAATTGATGTTCGTGAAAAAAAATCTCCAAAATTTTACATTGTTTAGGGAAAACAAATTAAATATTTAATTACCAATTGTTTAATACTGGCAGACAATCATCTGACCCATAGGTGGCAGCCATCTCAAGCCAGAGGACGAGAGGACTCTAGCCGCCACGCATATAAAGGATTTAGAGTGAAAAACTTTGTTTTTACGGGTTATACTTATTTTTTATTTTACTTTTATTAATTTAAATTTTATTTTTTACCTACGTGACTTTACCGAAAACACCTAAGAGTATGAATCCTTGCAGTCACGAAAGCTTCAAATCTAGAATTACCGGGAGGGAACAATAAAAAAAAATCGACCACTTGGCGTTGGCTAATAATTACGCACCTTGCCATCCTTTCCTTGTCGCCAGAATTCTGGTCATCCTCAGACCTGCGGCACAACCAATTAAATGTTTTTTTTTATTAATTAAACTTGCCAGAAAATCTCTCCCTCTTCTGGTAGCATCGCGATTCCCCCCACCACGCGTGGTGCGCACCAAAGAATAAATGGTGCCGAATTGTGGCTGGCTAGGCAAGTGCTGGTTTCAGTAAATTAGCGGGCGCTTGATTGAGCGAGGGTCGCGTCGTGGGCATGCTTAAGGGGATGTCACGGTTGAACCCGCTACACCTAACGCAAGGCCCTCCTGCCATCTCCATATATAAATGTTTTTATTCAGCACGGATAAACACACACGGAGGACGACTTACCGCTCCTCACCGCTGGACGATTTAACAAACCGTCACGCGACGCAGGACATGACGATTTGGTCACGGGCCGTGTGCTTGTCCCCCCCCACCCCGCCCGCAGGTCGGCGTAAAAAAAAAATCTCCATTACATGCGTGTGAAATATATTCTTAGGTTTTTTCGGTAAAGTAACGTAGGTAAAAAATGTAAATTAATAAAAGTAAAATAAAATAAAACAAAAGAAAAAATCACGACGTTTCGGAAGCAACACAAGCTTCCGTGTTGCTTCCGAAACGTCGTGATTTTTTATTGTTTTATTTTATTTTACTTTTATTAATTTACATTTTTTACCTACGTGACTTTACCGAAAAAACCTAAGAATATGAATCCTTGCAGTCACGAAATCTTCAAATCTAGAATTAATGCGTGTGAAAGTCGACGTACGTCACGGGTGCCTTAAGCCACGTGCGAGGCCTCGATCCTGATCGTCGCTAGATAAACGCAATGCCGCTACTGCTGCTGCTGTTGTCGCTGTTAGAGAGCGACAGTTGGGGGGGGTGGGGAGGATGGAGTTTTCCGGAGGAAAAGGAGGACTTCACAACAGACGGCTGGAAAAGAGCAGCGAGAGAGAGAGAGAGGAAGCCTTGTCGGACTGACAACAACGCACACCCTCACCTGGCGTACTTGCTCGTGCCGGGGCCGTCGTCATCTTCGTCATCGTCAAACTCCGACCTGCGACGGATGGGGGGGGGGGGGAAGAGGGGGGAGGGGCACAACGTCAAAAGCCGATCCCCGATGACTGGAAACACTGCCATCTATTGAGTCTACATTCCTTGTCAATAAACAAAAACTAAACGTTTTGATTTAAAGCTTTCGTGACTGCAGGGATTAATCTTCTTGGTTCTTTCGGTAAAGTCACGTAGAAGGGAAATAATAAAATAATAAAAATAAAACATAAAATACAATTCTCACGACGTTTCGGCCACAACGCAAGCAGCCGTCCTCAGGTGAAGAACAGGGCTGTCGGAAAGACGCTGTTTAATTTTATTATTTTATTTTTTCCCTTCTAAGTGACTTTACCGAAAGAGCCAAGAAGAAAAAACTAAACAATTTTAATTTTTCCACCGAGCTAACGTAACTCTTTTTCAGAAGCGCCCTAGCCACAAATGATAGCTCAACCAAGTGGTTTATGACGTGGACGATGATGTATGCATGCAGGTTGTGGCCGCTTGCTTTGAACCATTAGCAAAGTGTATGGTGAAAATCCTCTGCCGTTCATTTGTGGCGTGTGTGCGGGTGAATGTCGATGTGCTCGTAGTCCGGTGTTATAACTTATTTCCGTCCTGTAACTTCTTTGTGTAACAGAAGCGGAGGTGGGTAGCCGATGTCCCGGTTGCAAACATTGCGGAAGACGAGGCAATGCTGTGCAGCAATGGAAGTTAACTATAAACTATTTATATTTTATTTTACCAGGTAAGCCCCACCGAGCTACAGAGCTCTTCTTCAGAAGCGACCTGGCCACAAACGATAGCTCAGACTATATTCACGTTGAAATTTAAAGCAGCCAAATATTCTAAATGAATGTTTCTAAATGTGGAGGGAAAAACCAGAGGACCTGGTGAAAAATCGACCTGACCACAGGGAGAGAGACATGTAAACTCCAAATATACAGGCATTACGGGTGAGATCGAACCCACAATTTCCTGTATACCAGGCGAGGTAGTTAACATCTCGCCACCGTGGCCCCCTTTAATACGCGAGGGTAAACGAGTGCGTCGTAATCCAGCGAAGACGGTTAACGGGGGTGACAAAAAACATTAAGAGATGATAGTACAGACATTGCTTGTTGAACCTTACGATAAATTCGCAATTATTGAATTTGGAATTTCTAAATAAAAAAATTTTTGGGGGTGGGAATATAATCTAGCAATGCACGGTCTGTAATTTGTCCGAGTGTGCATTTCATGACAGTTCCTAGTAAGTACTGTAGAGTATTTATATTTCGCGACTTATTTAGAGTGTTATTATTGATATTTTACATCAAACGTGTGCTTAATAAAATTGTTTGCTGCTTTCTTAAGCTTATTTTTATTACGTCTTGGAGCGGAAACGTCTTTCCGTGGGAAAGCCTCTCCAATTTACCTAACGGAAGTCAACGCTAAACTAAGGGCTTGATCTAGACAGAACTTCGGTTCGCGGGGCAAACTTTCCGCGATCGTGACCCGTCAGCGAATTTCAAAAGGTGATGCCCGGCTAACGGCGACGCGTCGAGACGACGGCATGGACGCGACGGCACGGCGGTTGAATGTGCGGTGCGCGGTGGTTCACCCGGTACGTTTCTTCGCGCCGAGGCCCGCCGGGGTGCCGGAGGCCGACTGCGGGAGGGCGAGGGCGTGTGGGTGGCCGCTCATGGGGCCCTGTCCTGGCAGAGACAGGGCGCCTGCCGTTCCCGAGAGCAGGCTCCCTTCGGCCGGCATCTCACCCCCTGCAGCGAGACAAAACATCCCCCCCAACCTGTGAGAACTTTTTCAGACAGACTTTTGGGACAAGTGCTTGTTAGGAGAAGCCTGGTAGGGGAGTGGTTCAGATAATCGTCACCAGTGTTGGTGTGAGCGGCAAATCAAAATAGGGGTCACAGGGTTCGTAGGATGGCAGACAAGACAAAGATCCTCTGTGTAGCCTGAACAGGCTGTTGGGGCAAGTGCTATTCGCGAGCACCTATGAAGGCCGGGATGGCACACGAGGGGGTGGGTGGCCAACACCACGCCCAATTGCCTTCGTCTCCCCAGTGACGATGTTTACACACTGCACCAGGTACTCATTTGAGGCTGAATTGAGCATGGGGAGGTCCAGGACCGGTTCAGATAATCGTCACTGGTGTTGGCCGTGAGTGGGAATCGAACTCGCATCGAGACCCACAGACTCACATAGGAAACCTATAGACTTACATAGACATCCATAGACTCGCAACCAAACCAACACTCTCAGAGACCCATAGCCTCAGAGATCCACACTCTATATAGATTGAGCTGCGATTAAACTGGTTTCTCAAGTGATCTGCACACACGAAAAATACGGGTTCTGTGCTTAGTTTGGTTAAATTCCATCTCTAAGAAAACAAAGTATTGGGTTGATTGCCATGCCCCAAACATTACGTAAATGATGTGCCAACATTAACTTTCATGGGACAGTGCTGCCCCCTATTGCGTGGACCAGAGGTCACTTGGAAGGGATCTCAAGAGGTAGCTCTGTGGTATCCGCTTCTGTGGGGAGCAATTGTCTATAACATGAAGGCTCACATGACTGTGAATGAATACCAACCCCTTTCTCATTCCGACGACGTACGTGTTCATCATTGGAATGGAACCGCAAGTAAAAAGCCATGCGGGAGAGCGTGTGGCACAGTTTGGTACCAGCTATCGTAGAGTGGCGGCGGTCGTGGTGTCGCTGCAGTTCTCTGCGGTGAATAACGTCTTAACAAACCAGCGGCGTTACTAAGCCTCTCTAAATAAAATTAACGCTGAGCCGCTTGCTCGTTCCGAGATTTGGCGGTGAACGGGAAAACTCATCCACCCTGCAACTTGCAGACCGTCTCGGGAACGGGGTTAAGTCGCGTATGACGCGACGCCACCGGCGCAAATTGGCAAACGATTGGGGGAAGAATTCAGAAAAGGTGTCATTTTGCTTGAGCCATTACGTTGGAAGGAGGAAGAGGCAGCAACCCCAGTGAGGCTTAACCAGTTGACGGAACAAAACACACACACACACACACGGAAGTGAATCGTGTACACGGAATGGACAAATCAAGCCTGCAAACATGACTGGGAGGGTTTCAGGGTTCGGGTTACAGGACAAACAAGTTCGGGGGGCCTGTGTTTAGACAGAGCTATTATTCAGTCGTCCAGCTCGGGGCCATTCATCACTGGCACCGCACGAAGAAGCTTGAGCTCGCAAGGTAACAGCCAGGCTTTACCTTATCACAGCATTGACGCCTGGCCGCGTGTTAGAATTGTATGAAGGACAAGGTCGGGTCAAGAGGCCATCACAAACAATTCTCTACAGACGCTACCGCACCCAGAAATTGCTTGTTTCTTTCTGTCACATCGCACAACTCTTGCACAGTCGATAAAAAACAATTTTTTTTTTGTATTTTACTCGGTAAGGCCCACTGAACTATACGGCTCTTTTTCAAAAGCGACCTGGGCCGCAAATGATAGCTCAACGAAGTGGCTTATCTCCGGATTAATTTACAGCAGCCAAATACTCTAAACGCACGTTCATTCTGAATGTGGACGTAACAAAACCGGAGGACCCGAAGAAAAATCCACGCAAACACAGGGAGAACATGCAGACTCCAAAACATACAGGCATTGTCAGGGTCGGCATCAAACGCACGACCTCCTGCATATCAGGCGAGGGAGTTAACATCTCCTAGCCACCGCAGCGGGGGAAGGACAACAATGACTGATACCGTGCGGGAAAGCACTTCATCCAGAGATTGATTGACAAAAGGCCGTTAATGAGTTTCGTTCATTATAACCATATGAAGGATGCTCGTTATCAAGTGATTTGGAGGAACAACACAATTGTAAACTCTCAAACCCACTGGCAGAGGTCGCAATCGGGTACCCGATACCCGTACCCTACCCGATACCCGGCTACCCGTACCCGGCACGTGTACGGGTACCCGTTTGCGACCCTGGTGCGGCCGGGTACGGGTACGGAATCAAAACCCGTTTGCGACCTCTGCCCACTGGGGCTGTGAGGTGGCCAAGAGATGGAAGTACAGAAACTGTGCCTATGAATCCGTGCGTGGAGACATTCCCTACACGTATTTGCTCTCATTTGGGTATGCAGGCCCTTCCTGAAGGAAGGTCTTGAGACCCAACGATGCTCATCAAAGATGAATAAACAACTTAATTTCTTCCGAATAAACTGCAGACACACGAGGCTTCAAAAACGTCAGGACTTGGCAACTGCAGAATTATGCAACGCACCGTCATCCGTTGCACAATCGATTGCAACTTTGGCATGCATAACCGGCAGCAATTACCCAGCACCGATGTTGAACGCGAGAAAATATTTTGCCCAGCTTATTTTCAGTACCATGAAAAAACTTCCTGCTTTCAGCAAGGGGCAATGTTAGTGGTTGCGATGCACTTCAATATCTCTCTTCCTGAAGCCACACGTTGATTTTTTTAATGGTTCAGCACAATTGGTTTAAAGGGGGGAGTTGGTGGCAAACCCTGCTGATGAGACTTGGTGGAAGCATAAACAATTCCTCTGTGGGTTGTCGCATTTCATAATAAAATAAAATCAAACGCTCAAAAAAAAAATACATCAAGCAGCCTGTTTTAATCATCTCCATCTGCGGCCCTTAACCAGGAGTCAAAATTCCCCACAACATTGCCATGACGTCAGCGTGTTTCTCAGCAACACAGCCACTTTTGGGCTTCTCAAAAATGTAGTGCTCAGAAAATTATTAACCTCAAAAGGATGTTGACATCATCATCACGATCCATGGGCAGATAGCCTGTACTGGTGTCCACTGCACATTTCATCATTTGATTCCACTTTCCTCTTGTTTTGTGCCAATATGGCTCAAGTAGTCGTGCCACATCTTTCTGGCACAATCTCTCACGTTGTCAAGATGTTGACAGGATGCACTAAATCCAAACTAGTTGGGTAACTCCGATTAGGCGCGGTTGGCTACATACGGTGCGAAAGAAGTTCAGCGTACATGCACACATTCATATGACGTACATATTAGTCAATTTGAAGATGTGTGTAACCAATAGCATATCTATGAAGTGGCCTTTTTACACGCTTTCTATTAACTCACTCTGTTGTTGTTGTCGTATCCTCAAATCTTGTAACTCAATTTTAACCCACTTCCCAACGTGGTATCGACTGCAAACTTGGTATACTTACGTCATACTGATGACAATACTATTTTCTTTCATAAAAAAATTATATATATTTTTTAAACAATCTTGTTTATATGTTATGTTTTGGCTTGGGTCTAATGTTCCACGGTCAACCGACGTTGGCTGTAAATCACCACGGCCCCTTATGTTGTGGCAAGCTTTGCGGCTACTTCCTGGAGTCATGGAGTTCTTCCATTACTAGTAGGGTACATTTCATTAAAGCGTGTTTAAAAACAAAAAGTGTTTTTAAAATATTACTTATTTTATTACTGGGGTGTAGTACGCCAAACGAGTAGGACTGTGATTCAGAGACAACTAATCAATCCACCTTCCTTGAGGACAGACAAACTCTCGTAACATAAAAGCGGCGTCGGATGTACTCGAACTTACTTGCTTTTTCATCCACGCCGGGATGGGGTGGTGGTGCGTTGTATGTATGTTTAACTACTTTCGCATCGCAACATATCCACTGTAACGTAGCCAACCGTGCCAATGGGAGGTACGCGTTCAGTTTCGCGCACCGCACGTGAGAAACCAGTCACTCATTCCCGAAGCAAATCTATAGCTTCTACAACTGCAGACGATCAACCTTCAACATGACACCACGTGCGTTATTTAAAGGGCGATGACATTTTTTACTCTTCTTGAGGTTGCCCGATTTGCGGAACCTGCCCAACGAGAGCCGTAGTAATAATAATGATGATACCCTTTTATCCAGGAAAGACTCAAAATGTCAATCGATGTTTTCTTTGTTAAACTCGTTACCTTCTCAATGGAGAAACATTCACCTGCAAGAGCTGGGGGAGGGGGGTGAGAACAGGTAGACGGAATACACTGCGGTCCCTCTGGCTCATGAATCAAACCCCCGTCATCGTCGTCCTGGAGTTTGTTTGAACCCAAAAATCAAGATCCCTTCTCTTCTTCGCCGCCTGTAGCTGTTCCTTGCTTCCACTAACCCCACCTGTTCAATTCTCACCATACCCTGCTATTTACAATTGCATACATGACATGTGCCCGCAAGCTGTAGTTTATTTATCTCATCCATGCATTCATTGTTCTTCTTTAAACATCAGTGCAAGCACCTGCCCATCTTTGCCTTTGTTTGGCAGAAATGTAAAAAAAGAGGCGAGCAACGAGGCGATTTTCTTACTCCATCGAGCGATGGGTTGGCGAGCGGTGGCCAAATGAGGGTACGCGTCCTAGAGAGGACGTCCATTACTCCGAGCATGCATCGACGTTGTTTTGCACTCTTTTCAACTTTCGTTTCCATGTCTCTTCCAGCAACGGCCACGTTTTTTTGTTTGTTTAAATCCACGCCATAAAATCGACGAGGCAGACAGTGAAGCATCCATCCAATACCTGTCCCTCGACATAAGAAATAAAAGTATTTTTTCTTCAACACATTCCATCAGCCACACGGGCTTTTTGGGAGTGCACAATTTCAGTTGCATTGCTTTAACACAAGCAAGTTCTGGACTGGTTTCAACATTCAGTTTATCATCAGCAGACTTTTGGCTTGCTTGAACCAATGCTGGTGAACTATCAGATGTTCATAGGTAAAAACCCTTAGCACACTGTGGCTTGTATTTTCTTCAGAATATATTTGATGACATTCACCCTCACTATGTCCTATGCCTTAGATATGGCTCCAAGTTTGACCCAAAACTAATTACTACATAAAATTAAGCAATAATTGGTGTGGTATTATTTTTGCATGTTGTGGCAAGTTTCAACCCATGCGTATAAAAACACATTAATTGGCTGAAAACATCTGACTATATAGAGGACTGCAGAGCTTTGAGATCTTGCAATGGAAGGCGTGTTTCGTACCAGCCGCCTAGCAGCTTGTCTGGTTCCTCAGCGACGGAAAGACACAACGTACATGAACGCCGCTTTACGATACGCAACATGATTAATATTACATATGTAACATTCGCATGTAATATGCATGGACGTTAAACAATCTGTTCTTGCGCACGTGATTTTATGCGTGCGTCGTGAGCATATGAATCTACTTTAATTGGCGAATGCTTTACATAACCTGCGAGCTGATGTTTTACTTAACTGACAAGAGGACGTAGCGAGGTTGAAACTCATTCAACAGCTCATTAAAGAAACACAAGCCACATATTGCACTGCACCATAACTTCTAAAACTCCGACAGAGCCTATTAAAAACGGCCGACGTGACACATAAAAGGCACGATGCGTGTGCGTATATACAAAGCGCGAGCGTGGATAATAATGCCATCAGCCACCGACAACAAACTACTTGGACAGGACGAACGGTGGCGGGTGCAAGAGGCAGGGATATCACCTTTAATCAGCCTTTATCTACTCAGACACCCCTTGCCTTGGGGCAACAAAGGTAGGCTATGCAACTGGATGACATGCTCGAGACTGCCATTGTTTGACAATGCAGTGTGTTCAGAGCGGTGCACAAAGCACAAATGCAACAACAACAAAAACACACAAACAACCCTTGTCAAAAAACACACGTGACCTTAACAAGAACAAGTGTGTCTAATAGGCAACGTTTCGGGCAACGGACCTTTTTCACAGCGCACGCAGACAGAGAGAGAGAGGCCAGGGATGAAGAGTGTTCTAAATGTGCCGTGAAAGGCCATTGCCTAAAACGTTGCCTATTACGCGGGCAGTCCCCCGACTTACAGACTCGTTGCGTTCCTGGGGGCCAGTTTTGTAAGCCGAGCAGTTTATTGTTTGTTGCGGTTGCACCCGATTCAAGAGCCGAATGGCTCACAGGGCTATACCTAATAAATGAACTTGAACTTGATTTAAAACAACGTTCTTCTTCGGGCACACGACTACATTGCATTTCAATATCGTCTTTAGAATGATTAACTTCCACCAGCCTGCTCTTACCCACCCCTTCCTTTATCTAATCACTTTGATCCTGGTGAGCCTTCAATAACAGCTTTAGATAATATACAGCTGCCAAGCTTAGCAGTGTTCATTAGGACGCTGTCTTTTCCGACAGCTCTGTTCTTCACCTAAGGACGGCTGCTTGCGTTGTGGCCGAAACGTCGTGAGAATTTTGATTATGTTTTATTTTTATTATTTCCCTTCTACGTGACTTTACCGAAAGAACCAAGAATATGAATCCATGCAGTCACGAAAGCTTTAAATCGAAATTGTGTTCATACTTTTTGATTTGCTTTCTAAATCGTATGCCTCCATCGTATGTCAAGTTGTTGAGTGAACTTGCTAATGTGCATGACTTTTGTTTTGTATGCTTCATGAACCCTACGTTGTTTTACATTGTGCGACTCAAAAAAATAAAACATTCTGGGACAGCCCTCGCCTCCATGGGTGTCAGCTCCACATTCCTATGGCTGGACTCGGTAACGTAACGATTACACTCGCAATCAGAATAGCAGTGTGCGAGTTGAGTTCTCTGTCATAAAAGAACACTCGGCCAGACTTTACAGATTGTATATATGGCTCACATTAGCCGATGTCGCGTAAACGCGTGTCATTAAACCGACACGGCCAATTAGCAACAAAAACGTGCCAATTCGTAACCAGTTCAGCACACACACACACACCGGCTGTGTGTTGGAGAGTTAAACCCCAACTACAACGTTTAAGCATTCGATTACCGTAACGTTTCGCCGGTAATTACAACCGCAGCAGCAGCCAGCATCATCAGGCGCCAGCCAGAGCGTTGTGGAGAAACCCTTCCCCTCCTGTTTCGGTCTTAAACAGTAAACAGCGCGGGTGGGGATGAATGTGAAGTCGTCACTTGTTAGACAATCTGGTACCAACAATGATCTGTGTCGGGTGGTGGCGGGTTTAACGACAACATTTGTATTTACGCGATCTAACCCAAGACCACCTCCACTGTGGATAATATTGGTGGCTAATGCCCTATTACGACTACGCGTTGAACAGATTGACCGAGCATTGTCGTAAATTCCACATTCCGATGGCGGGGCCGACCCAACCTGTATTACACAACCGCTGCTGACGATGACTGTGGCCGCCTTAGACCAAATCGTCCGGAATCAGCTCCAACCAAGCGAGATATCGGGAGTTCAGCCGAGTCGAGTCTGGTATCTGCTCGGACTGCAAGACTACGTTGCTTTAAAAACAAAACATCTATTGTTGTACTTACATGTCCCCACGTGTGTGTGTGTACATGTGCTCGGCGCCTCTGTGGAGGAGGCTCGTGAAGGACGCTGCTACTGGGCAATAGGAGGCAGTCGCCTTCCAACAACAACGGAGGGCGGAGGAGCGACGCTCACAACAACGAGCGGAGCGCCGGGTGGCTAAAGCACAGCAAGTTGGCACAGTAGGGGGCACAGGTGGTGCATCAGCCACTCATCTCGGTCATCTCGGTCAGTCGACCCGTGGCACCTGCTGGGTCTGCCCCGTGACCTCCTGCCAGCGGGCGTTCGACACTTCACGTGGCAGCCTCAAGGTGCACTTGGCCTGGCACAAGCGTCGTGGTGACGTCACCGCCACTTAGTGGCGAATGGCGCTTGTTGTTGTTGTTGTTGTTGGCGTCTTCACCATCCCGCATTGACCGGCGTGGTGAAGTATGGTCAAACAACCTCACCACTGCACACACCCTCCCCTCCTCGCCGTATATAAGCAACACGGCCGGGCTTGGACACACAGCGCCGTACGGATGGGTGCGAGACGGCGATTGTTGCCAACTTACACCACCACCAGCAGCAACTCCAACCAACCGGGCTGTTGACATGCCCAAGGGGGCAAAACAACAACAACAGCAGCAGCAACAAAAGTTCCCAAACAACAACAATCGATTAGCGAACTAAAGTTTAAAACTCAACAGGGTGGGGTGGGGGTGGGTCAAATATGGGTGACAGACGCCACGGCGCACCCCCTCTCTCAGCTCACCACAACAACAACCAACAACAACAACGATTGTGATAGTTGTGGTGGTGGTGAGTAAACCTCAGGGGGGGGGGGCAGGTGGGGAGACAAAGGCGGCCGGGCGTGGTTCCGTACCACCCCCCTGCCCCCCCAAACTCCGCGACATCTCGACACGCAGAGCAAACAAGTGGCCACAACTTCACCTGCGCCCTGGGCTTGTTGTTGTTGTTGCTGTTGTTGTTGTTGCTGTTGTTGTTGCTGCTGTTGTTGTTGTTGTGGCGGCGGCCTGGCGTTCATATCGCGGCCGGTTCCAAGGCCGGGGCCGAGAGCATCAGTCTCTGAACCTCCTCGTCGTCGTCGACTGTTGGAGGGATAATGATGATGATGGTGGTGATGATGATGATGAGGTGTGTGTGTAGAACAAGACAAAGACGGCGGTGTAAAGGTAGAGAGAGAGAGAGAGAGATCGATGCAAGAGGGAGGAGTGTTCGAAGTCGGCCCTGGGCCTTCGCGAGCGATCACAAATCCTAGAGCAGCAGCCCCTCCCCTCCCACCCCCCCTTCAAAATGGAGGCCGCGTGCGAGGGACCGCGGCCTCGCGATTGAGCGGCGCGAGCGGAGGGGCCGCGGCGATTTGCGACGAATTTTTGCTGCTGCCGCTGCTGTTGGGTTTTTTTGATCCGTTGAGGACTTCACCACCCGTGGCTCCTCCCCCCTCCCCCGTGGCTCCTCCCCCCGTCCCCCGTGGCCCCTCCCCCTCCCCCGTGGCCACTCCCCCTCCCCCGTGGCTCCTCCCCCCGTCCCCCGTGGCTCCTCCCCCCGTCCCCGTGGCTCCTCCCCCCTCCCCCGTGGCTCCTCCCCCCGTCCCCGTGGCTCCTCCCCCGTCCCCCGTGGCTCCTCCCCCCGTCCCCCGTGGCCCCTCCCCCCGTCCCCTGTGGCTCCAGTTGTAGTGAATATTTTCATGGAAAAATGTGAAACGGACACCATCCAGGCATCCACTCTACGCCCGTCCTTGTGGAAGATGATACAGATTTTTTGCTGTGACAGTTTCACCTGAAGACGGAAGCTTGTGTTGCCTCCGAAACGTCGTGATTTTATTGTTTTTATTTTTTTTAATTAATTTCATTAAATTTTTTACCTACGTGACTTTACCGAAAGAACTAAGAGTATACTTGTGGAAGAGGTTTGTCATCTGGCCACATGGCCGACCGGCTCTGAACCAATTCCTCAACCGCAGCAATTCCATACACCCAGCCATCAAGTTCACCATGGAGGTAGAAGAGGATGGCATGCTACCCTTCTTGGATGTCCTAACCAAAAAGAGACCAGATGGTTCAATGACATCTCTCCACCGCAAGGAGCCGTCCATAAATGACGTCACGCCGCGATTTTGAAGGATTTTTGATCCCCCCACTTCTCGTCACACGGCGTCACAAAAAGTCAGACCCCCCCTCAAATATGACGTCACAAAGCTCTGCCCCCCCTCCCCAAAATAAAACATGCTTCAAATCGCTTTAAACTATTGTCATTGTAGTGCGTATTCAATGTGGCGCTGCACTCTGATGTTGTAGGAGACAACATTTATTAAAAAATCTTATTTAATGAAGTAGAACGTGTTGTCACACATCGTCACAAATGTCTGACCCCCCCCCTCCCTCCTAGGTGCGTGACGTCATTTATGGACGGCCCCCAACGCGCACACACAGATGCAGCCAGAACCCATCAATACACTCACCGATCAAAGCGAAACACGAAAAAAAAAACATTCTCCCGCGATCAATTGATTTATTTCTTAATTTATTATTCCTCGACACGACCTAATTTTCGCGAGTGTAAACTTTAACTGGATGCGACTTGATGATGCGGCCAGTGGTCAGGGTAATGAATGGGCGTCGAGTTTGATTTAAAGGAAACTCCCCCTTCCCCCCCCTTGAATTCCGTCCTCTCATTACAATTGAGAGCAAATTGATTTTGAGAATGAAGCTGTTGCGGGCGTATGTGCCTTGATGGAAAAACTGCTGCTGGCGATTGCAAAGGGGACCTTTTTTGTGTGTGTTTTGTTTGTGTGTGTGTGTGGCCGAAGCTTCGTCTTATCTCTTAAAGTAATTTATAAAGCGCCTTATTCAAGGCGCTTTACACGGAATTAAAGTGTGTATTGAGTGTGATGGTGGAGATGAGGCGAATTGAACAGATGATGAGAGGAAGCAATGGGGGGGGGGGGGGAATCTGCAGTGCGTGAGTTCGGTGAAAGCGAAATTGATGTCAGAAAATGATGAATGGATCGAATGAATGGGGTGAATGAGTGATATCCATATGATGATAATTATTATTATTCTAACATTAAATGATGATGGATGGATTGAATGAATGGGGTGAATTAATGATAACCATATGATGATAATGATTATTATTCTAACATTAAATGATGATGGATGGATTGAATGAATGGGGTGAATGAGTGATAGCCGTATAATGCGAAAATATACAGCAGGCGTCAAGGTCGGGATCGAACCCACGACCTCCTGTAGACCAGGCGAGGTAGTTAACATCTCCTAGCCACCGTGATGATGAGAGAGAGAGAGACACGCCAACTCCAAATACACAGCAGACGTCAAGGTCAGGATCAAACCCACGACCTCCTGTGTACCAAGCGAGGTAGTTAACATCTCCTAGCTACCGTGATGATGAGAGAGAGAGACACGCAAACTCCAAATATACAGCAGGCGTCAAGGTCGCGATCGAACCCACGTCCTCCTGTGTACCAGGCGAGGTAGTTAACATATCCTAGCCACAGTGATGATGAGAGAGAGAGAAAGACACGCAAACTCCAAATACACAACAGGCGTCAATATCGGGATCGAACCCACGACCTCTTGTGTACCAGGCGAGGTAGTTAACATATCCTAGCCACTGTGGTATGCAAGATGCCACCGTGGGCTCCCCCTTACCACACGTTATTGTGGTGAACATGCAAACGTGCTCTGATAATAAACCTGACTTGGAGCTTTCGTGACTGCAGGAATAACTTTTTGGTTCTTTCAGTAAAGTCACGTAAAAAGAAAATAAATTAAATAATAGCATACGACGTTTCGATTGTAACACAAGCAATCATCATCAGGTACGAATTAATGCCTTGCCTTTGAAACGGATTGGTCCACTCCAGAGACAGCCACCTGCACCACCCCACTCCCGGCCGCCTTTGTCTCGATCCATCCCCGCGGTGGAGTGGATTTGATGCTGATTGAAACACCGCACAAGTTACTCGAGCAAAATGTTTTATTTCGGGATGGTGGAGGCAAGTGCAGCATCCACTTCAAATCGTTTCCCGCTCATGTCGATGGTCATGAACGGGAATCGAACTTGGGTCCGCCGGGTTCGCGGAGCGGCACATTCAGGTGCGCTCTGGTTCGATACTCTGGCGCTCGCCACTGATGTTGGCCGTGCGTGGAGGGAGATGGAACTCGCTTGAGACGCAGACCTAGAAGGGGGTTTGGGGTGCTGCGTGGAATACAATTTCGCGTGTTTGCGGGGCGCGTGCCCGTTAATAAGATTGGATGTCCGCAGTAAATTTCAAATGCCTAACAAAACGTAACTCATTCTTTAAAGCCACTTTCAAGTGGTTTATACCGAGTGTGGACGTGCCTCTCTGTGCGTGTGTGAGTGCGGGGAGCGGTAGTGGTAGCGGAATAGCTATTTGCTGCGCTATGAACCCGGCAACCCGAGTTCGATTCCCGCTCACGGCCAAGCGCCAGTGGCGATTTTCGGAACCGGTCCTGGGCATCCCGCAGGTCGACTCAGCCTGAAATGAGTACCTGGTCACGGTGTGTAAACATCGCCACTGGGGAGACAAAGGCGGCGGGGCGTAGTGCTGGCCACCCACCCCCTCGTGTGCTGTGCCGGCCTTCATAGGTGCTCGCTAACAGCGATTGCCCTTACAGCCTGTTAAGGCTTTACGGGGGATCTTTGTCTTTTGTGTGTGTAATGAGCGGTGGTGTAGTGGTTAGAGCACTTCGCTGCGAACCCGACACCCCGAGTTCGATTCCCGCTCGCGGCCAACACCGGCGACGACTATATGAACCGGTCCTGGGCCTCCCCTAGGTCGACTCAGCCTCAAATCAGTACCTGGTCGCTGTGTGTAAACATCGCCACTGGGGAGACAAAGGCGGCCGGGCGTGGTGCTGGCCACCTACCCCTTCGTGTGCTGTGCCAGCCTTCATAGGTGCTCGCTAACAGCACTTGCCCCTACAGTCTGTTAAGGCTATACGGGGATCTTTGTCTATATACAATATGCATGTGTTTACATGCTTAAATGACGTCAAGCACCTAGGAGGGGAGGGGGGGTCAGACTTTTGTGACGATATGTTTTCTCCTACAACATTAGAGTGCAGCGCCACATTAAATACGCACTACAATGGCAATATTTTATAGCGATTTGAAGCATGTTTTATATTTTTTGTGGGGGGGGGGCAGAGCTTTGTGACGTCATATTTCAGGGGGGGGGTCTGACTTTTTGTGACGCCATGTGACGAGGGGGGGGGGGGTCAAAAATCGTCCAAATTCGCGTGACGTCATTTAGGGACGTCCCCGGAGGGGAGTGGAGGGAGAGGCGGCGTGGGAGTTGGGGGTGGGCTGGGCTGTGCTGGAGTGGTGTCTGTGTTGTGATGTGAACTGCGCGCTCAATCAGTGAGTGGGGGAGCGGTGGCGCAGCGGTTAGCAACGACTCGAGATCGATGTCCCCCGCTCACGGGCCACCAACACCATGAGCCCCCCCCCCCCTAGGTCGACTCGGCCTCAATCAAGGCGGGCTTTGCGCAGTGGTGTAGTGAACACCAAACACTGGGGGAGACAAAGGAGGCTCGGAAAGCCACTCGTGTGTTATAACGGCCTTCATAAGGCGATGCTACTCGCTAACAGCACCTGCCCCCAACAGCCTGTTAAGCCTATACGGGGGGGGGGGGGGATCTTTGTCTTTGTGCTCAATTTCGCAGCAATCAGTGTCGCTGACACCTCTACTCACCCTTAATGTCTTTTTTTTGCCTCTTCCATTCTCGAAACCCACCAACACCCTCCAGCATCCTCGTTACCGCTTCCTAGCCGCATCTTCGTCCATTGGCTGGCTTGTTCACTGCCTCTCCAGTTCAACACCACCACCACCCACGCCCAGAGCCGGCCCAACCACTAAGCGACCCTTGCAATTGCAAAGGGCCCCGTGGCCAGCAGAGGGCCCCCTAGAGACACTGCTAGCTAGTGGGTGAAAAAAATCAAATATCAAAGGGGCCTCCAACCAAATTTTGCTTAGGGCCCCCAAAGGTCTAGGGCCGGCTCTGCCCAGACCCCAAGCTGTGGGTTTGCCGTCGCTGCTTTTAGAATCATCATCATCATCACCATCAACACCTTCACCACCATCGTTTCAGTGTCGGATTTAGTCATGAGCTAAGTGCTGTGATAAGAAGAGGCTTCACCCCTTTTCTGGCAATGAAACAGGCGTTTTAGGACGTCCAGACGTCAAATAGGCATCGATTTGCAAGGCATCAGGTCTGCACGAAGCA